TAGACATAATTACAGTACTATTATATCACACCTAACAAAACTAATAATTCCTTAATGTCATCAAATAACCAGTTAGGGCACACAGACTTTGCTGGCTCAAATACTAAATTTCTTTTAGCTTAAATACTCACTAGAATATTAACATCAGAAAAAAATACTAGATACACTCAAGTTTGAGAAATTAGTATAGAAGACTATGTTTTCTGCAAACATTCTTTCTGTTAATCTGTTTCAAATTTCCAGTTTTATTCTCTGGAATTACATGTCCTAGAAAATATATCCAGCATTTTTCTGCCCCTTAAAACTAAAGCACTGTAGACTTGAAATTCATCTAGAACATTTATGCATTCAATAAATTTTTATTGGACACCTGCTGTGTATGAGGCTGTGTACTAGGTACTTTGAAGAATACATGTGCAGATGCATCAGATTTTTTCCCTTCTCTATAAGGAGCGTGACACATTGCATTGGGCAGATCTGCTGCAAAAGACCTCTTCAAAGTGTTAAAAAGTAAAGATGTCACCTTGAAGACTAAGGTGCACCTTACTCAAGCCATGGTATTTTCAGTCCCCCTCTTATGCATGTGAAAGCTGGACGATGAGTAAGGAAGACCAAAGAAGAATTGACACCTTTGAACTGTGCTGTTGGCGAAGGATGTTGAATATACCATGGACTGCCAAAAGAATGAACAGATCTGTCTTGGAAGAAGTACAACCAGAATGCTCCTTAGAAGCAAGGATGGCGAGACTATGTCTCACATACTTTGGACATGTTATCAGGAGGGATCAGACCCTGCAGAAGGACATCATGCTTGGTAAAGTAGAGGGTCAGTGAAAAAGAGGAAGACCGTCAAGGAGATGGATTGACACAGTGTTTGCAACAGTGGGCTCAAGCATAGCAGTGACTGTGAGGATGGAGCAGGACCGGGCAGTGTTTCGTTCTGTTGTATATGGGGTGGCTGTGGGTTGGGACTGACTTGACGACACCTAACAACAGCAACAACACAAGAAGCGTATGACATAAAGGAGAAGTTCAAGGTGGTGTGTAAAACGCTGTTGACAAGCTGCTGCGGCAGGAGAGGCCCGTTTTTGTCATTGTTGTCCCGACAGGTTTTAATGGAAAAAATGAAACCTGACTGGAGAAATCTTTAAGTGTGGATGGGGTTTCATCAGACAGAGATGGAAAGAAAGAATCCCAGACAGAGGGAACAGCCCAACTGAAGATGTAGAGATTAGAAAGGATTCAGTGCTTTTTAGCAGTCCCACCTACTGTTTTTTGACAGCCTGTGAGCCAGGTGTTCAGCTAAGTAAAGCCGGTTACCGTTGAGTCAATTCCAACTCATGGCAACTCTGTGTGTCAGAGTAGAACTGCTCCATAGGGTTTGCAATGGCTGATTTTTCTGAAGTAGATTGCCAGGCCTTTCTTCCAAGGCACCTCTGGGTGGACTTGAACCACCAAACTTTCGGTTAGCAGCCAAGTGCATTAACCATTTGCACTACCCAGGGACTCTATTTGGCTAAGTACTAGTTATACATTCTTTAGTGTATTTTCCCCACATACTCTATTATGTAGATAATTTATATGGTTTTACGAATGAGGGTAGTGAGACTCAGAGAGGTTAAGTAACTTGCCCAGGATCACCCAGCTTGTCAGTGGCAGAACAAGGATTCCAAGCTATGTATGCTTGGCCTTGAAGCCCCTGCTTTTTTTTCTCTGCTGAGGGCAGTACATGTAAACAAGTGTCCCAGGAGTACAGGGTATGTTAACAGCAGTAGGAATAACTCTTAGAGTCAGTCAGAGAGGACCTGTGGGCCAGGCTGTAGACTTAGGACCTAATTTGGTAGATGGTGAATTCATTTATGGGTTTTGATTGTTGCTGTGGTAGGGAAGTGACATGATGAGACCCACGCTTCCGGGAAGGTAATCTGGCGGAGATGTGTGCAGTGAGTTGGCGTGGCTGAGACTGGGGACGTCAGTCTGGGTTGTGGCGATAAGAATTGAAAGAAGACGGATGCAGGTGGCTTTAGAGGCCGACCCATGGACCTGGGGACTGATTAGATATTGTGGGGAGAAGAGTCCAGGACAGCTGAGGACTTTGGCCATTGCTCCTGAGAGAATGATGGATTTACTAAAGTATGTGAGTCGGGAAGAACTTCTTGGAAAGATTAAATACATTTAGTTGTAGATACGTTGCGTTTTAAGAACAGCAAATAATTGACCTGCCCTCCAGCTTTGTGTCTGCTTGGAAATGGAAATGCAGAGCTGGAGATCAGCGTCAGGGCTGGAGAGAGGCAGACCTCTCTCAGCATCTTAGAAGACAGGAAAAGAAGATGCAAGGATGGCTGGAGGTCCTCTTGGCAGGGAGGAGAAGCAGGCGTGCCACCAAGTGGGAGGGAAGATTAAGCAAGGAGGACAAGGAATGAGAAGGATGATGGCAGTTTCTTAAAATCGATAGTTTTTTTTAAAACCTGTTTTATGTCTTAGGTGTAAAAGTAGAATTACTGGATAGAGTACATATATGTAGTAAATTTGAATAATGCGCTAGGTGTATATAAGAATGTAAGTTCCATTTTTTAATCATAGGAGAGATTAAATATTCTTTTGTCTACCTGTCTAATTTTTCAAAGGAAAAATATTTAAAATTTCATGATTTTTAAAAATCTAGGTAAACTACACTGGATTGGATTTTTTATTTTGGTAAAATAGTAAATGTCTTCAAGTTGCCGCTGAGGTCAAAAATGTACAGTGTGGCTTAAATGATTTTTTAAAAAAAGAATGTGGTTATCAGAGTTAGCTAATTATTAAACTATTTAGAAACTTCAGAAAAGCCTAAGTATTTTAAGGAAGAAAGTGTGACTTAGCTGAAAGAACAGATTGAAAAATGAGTATCCTGGTATAGAGTTCTACTGTATTGTCTAGTTTATTAATATCACTCACCCAGAAGAGCTAAGGCACCACGATCAGTATTAGCTTTTGCTGCCTAACAGTCAGTCCCGAGGCTTAGTGGTTTAAAAGAGTAGCCATTTGTTCTTGCTCAGGAATCTACAAGGCAGCTGGATGGTTCTGCTGATCCGGGCGAGGAGTAGCTCTCTGATGTGTCTAGAGGCCAGCGGGGTCTGAACGGTCTCAGGTGACCTCATGCACACGTCTGGCAGTCATCCTGGGGGTCAGCTGGCTTTGGCTGGGGCAGAAGCGGGACTGGTCCCTGTGTCTCTCACCATCTAGCAGCCCAAATGTGTTCTCATGGTGACTGAGGGTTCCAGAGAGTGATCTGAAGTGTGCAGAGTCTTGAGGCCAGGCTCTGAATGCATACCATAGTATTTCAGCCCCATTCTCTTGGCCGAAGTGGCCACGAAGGCTGGTGCAGATTCTACGGTGGGACAGCATTCGGTGTCTCAGCAACTGGAGCTGCGAGCCATTTTTGTGATGCACCACAGAGCAGCAGATGGAAAAGAAGTACAAAACATGGCAGCCCCCTAATAAGCTGTTTTTCAAGCTTTGATCACTTACTGTTGAAGTTCGATTTTTCTTCCTTTTAGATTATATCATTTTCTGGAGTAAGGAGAAAGCTTAAGAATTTAAAGTTTTGAATAGAGTGTAAACTTTATAGGAGTAAAAAGCTTAATGCTAATTGCTTTTGCATGTATGATAGTTCCCAAAGCAAAATTTCCACAGGAAATTCCAACTATAATTTATTTTTTTTTGTGGTACTTTTATTAGGATGTTGGTGGAGGATGGCTGGAAGGAAGAAACAGCAAAGGAGAACGAGGGCTTGTTCCCACAGACTATGTTGAAGTAAGAACTTATTGTCATTAATTAATTAAGCTGATTCTATATCAAACATCTTTTTATGAATTATTGACTTAAGGGGACAGACTCAAAGATGGAAACTTTTTTTAATATAACAATTTTCACTGTAAAATAGTAAATGCTAGTTTTATAAAATATGGAAAATATATTGAAATAAAACTAAGAAAAAATAAAACCTATAGACCCAAGCTCCAAAGAGTGACTGCAGATATTTAGATTAAGTTCCTTCCAGGATAGCAACTTTTGATTATTCTGAATAAAAGTCACGATTTTCCTTTTGCTCATATTATGTACTCGCTGCTGCCTACAGGACTGTCTATTGTAGAACCAATTCACAAAATTTAAATAGCGTATTTTTCAAAGTAGCTTTATTCTCCCTGTGCTAAGTCAGGACCGACTTCTCAGTCTCTTATCCCATCCTGTGGAAGGAAGATATCTTGAATGGGGTGTTGTGAGCTGTTTCCGGGTTTCAGCTCTATTGTGATGGGTGCCAAGGATAGGATTACAGACACTCTGAAGTACCATGCCCTGTCTGGGGACACACCACTCAGCTGATAAAACCTTCTGAGTCAACCTCCTGGCGCCCCCTGCTGGTTGGTCACACAAAACTGATGTACTGAGTACTGGTGAGCTTGCCTCTCATCTCAGGACTGACTGGAGAGAGAGCTCAGGAATAAAAATGCCTTTGGTTCACTCCCATAGAGAGTGCAGACTGTGTATCTGCTGAGAGTGAGAGGTGAGGAGTCTTGAACCCTTTGAGGATCTGATGAAATCTGCAGACCTCGGGGAAATGTGCACCCCTTCATACAGTGTGATACAGTGTCAGAGGGCTGACAGACCCTGAACACTGTCCATAGATCATATGTGCCCATCCTGAGCTAGCTCTGTGCACTGTGCCCTGTATTCTCAGAATTGACAGAATTGAGAAAAACCTGAGGAGTTAGGTTGATATTGGCATTAATTGCCCTTTCTAGAAATCTGTGTACCTGTAGAAAGAGGTCGTCATTATTGATGCTCTTGGTATGCTTATCTTTTAAGAGTGTGAACCCCCTTTTCACAATAGTTGACAATCATTACTTGCCCTCAGGGACCCTGATTCTGAAATAACCCTAATAAGTGAAAGTAACTGTGGTTCCTTTTAACGTTCAGATTTTACCTACTGATGGAAAAGCTCCGTTTTCTTGTGGAAATTCAGTGGCTGACCAAGCCTTCCTTGATTCCCTCTCAGGAAGTACAGCTCAAGCCAATTCATCCGCTGCCAACAGTAACAGCCAGGTATGTTGTGCATCGTCCTGCTGGTGGGGCTGGCTTTACTGAGCGCAGAGCTCCTCGGGAAAGCCTGTGGTGCATCACAGCTCTTGTCCTTCTCCGAAAGCATAAACCCAGTAGCTGTTAGATTTTTGTGTGGCATTTCTGTTGGATATTAACCAAGAACTCACCTGGTACACCTGCCCAAAGACTGGTTTTTAAATTGGTTTTAAGAGAAGAGTGTTAATTGAGAGTCGCTTTTAAAACTTTGGCACATACCCCAGCAGTTGCAAATACCTCTCAGAAGAGGGTGTGGGAAGAAAAGGGTCTTATTGGTGAGGTATCCCTCTAACAGGAGACATATTGTCTGGCCTCAGGCACGTCATTTAACACTCAGAGCTCTAACTCCCCCCACCCCGTTGTGCAGGGTGGAGCAACGTATGTAAAAGTGGTAGCAAAAGGTCGGCACTCAGCACCTGCTACTGTTACTGCATTGCTTCAGGAAAACTTAGACTAGTGGGATAATTGGAGAGAAACACTGAAGTTTTACATGATTAATTCATCTTAATAGCAGTTAAAATTCGACTCGCTTTAGTGAATTTCCCTAGTTCAGTTATTGCTTAATGATTATCCAGAGTTAGTTTCAAGAAGAAAATTGAGAAGGTGGATATCCAAATGTTATTGCTAACTTACATCTTTAGATGAATGGGCTTTAAAGCATATTATTTCTTGATATTCTTAAACTACATGAAAGTTTTTAAATGAGCTTAAACCTAATAATCATATCACTTATAATTATTTGCTTACAGAATGTCTCTATTAGATCTTAACTCTGTAAGAATTTATCAAAGTACTGTTACGGTATATTAACTACAGATTTTGTGCATTTTAAAATACTTTTTATAGACATCCTGAATTACAAATTAATCTGATCCAGATATTTAAAATTCAGAGGCAAGGTGATCATCATAGTTGAACTTTTTCCTATATTTTGTTACACTGTAATACTAAAGAATATTGGTCAGTTAAAGATTATTCATTATAAAGTGTAAGGAAATAATAGTTATACAGTACTTGAAGTTTTAGCAGAGACTCTCAGCCTGAACAGTGTTGACATTTGGGGTCTAATAATTCTTCATTGTGGGAATCTGTCCTGTGCATTATAGAATGATTAGCAGCATCCCCAGCCTCCACCCACAAGATGCCAGCAGCACCCCCACTTGGTTGGAGACAGTAATATCTCCCGATATTGCCAAACATCCCTTGTTGGGCAAAGTCAACCCAGTTGAGATTCACTGGGTTATACAAAAACATCAGTGAAATGAACTTGCATAAGTATAGCACAACAGTTTTTGTGTGTGTGTGTGCTTTAAGTGAAAGTTTACAATTCAAGTTAGTCTCTCATACAAAAATTTATACACACATCATTATGTAACCCTAGTTGCCCTCCCTATACTGTGACAACACTTTTCCTTTCCACCCCGGATTTCCCATGTCCATTCAACCAGCTCCTGTCCCTTTCTGCCTTCTCATCTCACCTCCAGACAGGAGCTGCCCATTTAGACTCATGTATCTACTTGAGCTAAGATGTACACTCTTCACGAGTATCATTTTATGTCCCACCGTCCAGTCTAATCTTTGTCTAAAGAGTTGGCTTCAGGAATGGTTTTAGTTTTGGGCTAACAGAGAGTCCGGGAGCCATGTCTTCTAGGGTCCCTCCAGTCTCAGTCAGACCATTAAGTCTGGTCTTTTTACTAGAATTTGAGTTCCTGCCCCCCACTTTTCTCCTACTCTGTCAGGGACTGTCTGTTGTGTTCCCTGTCAAGGCAGTCATTGGTGGTAGCCGGGTACCATCTAGTTCTTTTGGTCTCAGGCTGATGAAGTCTCTGGTTTATGTGGCCCCTTTGTCTCTTGGGCTAATATTTTCCTTGTGTCCTTGGTGTTCTTCACTCTTCTTTGCTTCAGGTGGGTTGGTACCAATTGATGCATCTTAGGTGGCCGCCTGCTAGCTTTCAAGACCCCAGACACCACTCACCGAAGTGGAATGCAGAACATTTTCTTAAAAAAGTTTCGTTATGCCGGTTGACCTAGATATCCCCTGAAACCATGGTCCCCAGATCCCCGCCCTTGCTACTCTGTCCCTTGAAGTGTTTGGTTGTATTCAGAAAACTTCCTAGCTTTTGGTTTAGTCCAGTTGTGCTGGCTTCCCCTGTATTGTGTGTTGTCCTTCCCTTCACCTAAGATAATTCTTGTCTACTGTCTAGTTAGTGAATACCCCTCTCCCTCCCTCCCTACTCTAGTAACCATCAAAGAATGTTTTCTTCTGTGTTTAAACCTTTTCTTGAGTTCTTATAATAGTGGTCTTACGCAATATTTGTCCTTTTGCGACTGACTCATTTCACTCAGCATAATTCCTTTCAGATTCATCCATGTTATGAGATGTTTCACAGATTCATTGTTGTTCTTTATTGTTGGGTTGTATTCTGTTGTGTGAATATACCATAATTTGTTTATCCATTGGTCTCTTGATGGGCATCTAGGTTATTTCCGTCTTTTTGCAGGGCAACAGTTTTATTAAAGGGAATTATAATGAGGAGATCATAGACTAAGTGAAGGTAACAAAAGATAGAAATATCCATCTTGTTTTAGTTCAGGGGACCTACTTCACCCATTATCTCAGGATAGGCTGAAGTACTGTAGCTAATGATCACGGATTTAAAACCAGGTTCAAATCTTGTTCTTTGTGAAGTAGATTTCCTCTATTTTTAAACATAGAAATATAAACTAATTAGTAGAAATCTAAATTTTTTTTCTTCCAGGTTATTTAGAAGATATGTAACCAACTTTTTATTTAAAAAAGTTGGACTTTACTAACCCAGTCTAACATTGAATCTAATCACATCTCTTGAAAGGAAAAAAAGAAAATGAGCTGAAAGCAGACTTAACAAAATACAGGAAGCATGACCATAATTAATTAATTTGAGCATTTGAATTTAATTTAAGGCAAGTAAAAATAATTTTAGTAGCCATCTGTGATCTCTGTTATCTGGGATATGAGAAAATTTTAAATAGGCCAGGATTATGGTATGTTTTATAAGTACTGTGAAAGATACCGTGATTGAGACGCCAGATGACCATTATTAACTGGTAGCTTTTAAGAATTACGCTCTCAAGTTTGCCGTTCATTCATCTTCTGAATGTCAATGAGAAAATGTTACGTTTGTTCCAGGGGTATACTTCTTGGGATTTTCTAGTTTCTCTGGCGTTGTGCTCCATCGCTGGGGACAGTGTTGCATTCTAGGCACTCATGTCAGGGAGGCTTCTGCCCCGTCAGGCTGTGCAGGGGGCACCTGCTGCCTCGCCCACAGCTCTTCTCAGTGCTCCTCACTGTGCGGACTTCTCATCCAGCGTCTGCTTATCTTCTCAGCATCGGGCATTTGCCATCTGGCTTTCTTCCCACAGTGGCAAGTTAAAGTGCCACACTCAGCTAGTGGTTGTCCAACTTTCTGACCATTGCATTTTTCTTTTAAATCGTATCTTTAAAGAAGAAAATCTCTCTAAAAGATTATGTCCATTTACAGATCTGCTTGAATTTTGAGCCTGCTATCTTTATCTGGGAGCCCTGGTGGCGCAGTGGTTAAGAGCTCAGCTGCTAACCAAAAGGTCGGCAGTTTGAATCCATCAGCCACTCCTTGGAAACTCTGTCGGGCAGTTCTGCTCTGTCCTGTAGGGTCGCTGTGAGTCAGAATCGACTCAATGGCAGTGGGTTTGATTTGGTTTTTTGGGTATCTTTATCTGAGCCTTCTTTAACTTTGTATTTTTAGTCTATACTACATTTCAAAATAATTAGTTCATAAATTTATAAGTTAATATGTAAAACAGCACTTCTTTTTGTTTTTCTTAAAGCTCCTGGTTTCACGTTGTTTGGGGTTCCGCGTGTTATAGATTCTTACTTGAGCAACCACAGTGGTAAGTGGATTAGTTGGTGCAGAGGTAGAGAAAATCGGCACGTTCCTTACAGTGACACAGTCTGACTTCTGTGCTGTAATAGTTTTTGTGCTAGTTCCACAGAACTAGCTTCTCATCCAGACTTCCCAATTTCTATTTCTCTAAAATGCTGCTTGTTTCTGTGTCCTTATTTCACTCCACTTTCAAAGCCTAACTGAGTGCCACTGTGAGCCATGGTTATCGTCCGGAGTGGTCTGCATCCTGTAGATGTGGAAGGGCAGGAAAAAAATTGAGACCCTGTTCTCATTCATCCCTCACTTTGTCTCCTCCCTTAAAATATAGCATTGCTTGGGTGCCAGGGCAGTAGGCTCTGGAGCCAGAGGACCAGGTTTTAGTCCCAGATCTCACGCTTTCTCGAGACTGAGGTTAAGGTTAAATAGCCTTCTTGTGCTTCCATTTCCTCATCTGTAAAACCTCAAGGATTGTTGGAAAAAGTGAAAAAACAGTTCTAAAGTGTTTAGAACAGTACTTGGTACTTAGTAAGGATTTAATAATTGTCCGTTGTCTTTGTCTTATACACCGTTGCTTGGAAATAAGACAATAAATATGTCAGTTCTCCGCTCAGGAAACTTCAGGAGCTCCCCCCTTGCCTACTGAGATAAGCAACCATTTTCTGCATGTCACGAGAAAGGACTGTTCAGGAGGTAGTCAATATCCTGTCAGTTAGAGTTGTGCTAGCAGACACTGAACAGTTGCTTGGTAGGGAAATTGTAGAAGGAATTCTGAATTCAGGGTTGGTTTAGATACTTTCCCAACCTCAGTTATATTTGTGTGATTCCTCAGTGTGGCCCCAGCCTTATCCTGATAAATGTTTTAGGCTCCAGCCAAATAGCTATTCTGCAAAGGTGCCCTCATGTTGCCCCACCTTTTCTTTGTGCCTTTGGTTCTCTCTAAGAGTGCTAGAACGTCCTTCCATCTTTCAAAAGACTACCCATCCCTCAACATTCAGCCCAAGTGCCACACCTTTTATCAAGCCTTGTTTTGGTTCTTTTTCCATCTTCTGGATTCTCTTAGCACTATTTGTGACTCGTGTGTTACGTATTACAGGTTATATTTGTATTGCTTATTTGTAAACTCATAAGCTCAGTGATAAGCAGACAGTCTTTCTGTCTTGCTTACTTTTTTCAATTCCCAGTAGCCTGTTATAGGTCTTGCACCATAATAGAATGCTCTACACGTTTGTATAATTTTTTGTTCAGTCATAAATACCTCAAAATGTCCTTTGCAGTATAAAATACTATGAGATTTACAGATTTCAACCTGAATCTCTGTCTAAAACAAGTTTGTATTCTCAGCTTTGGCTATAGGACTAGAAACTATTCCTCACCCATCACTATACCATCTGATAAGTTACCCAATCAAAAATAGTGAAATCCCTCACAGAAAACCCTCTGGCATTGGGTTTTTTTGTTTGTTTGTTTCTGTTTTTGTTTTAACAGTTTGAATATTAAACAAATGCTTGAAATTAAGTGGATATTTAGAGATGTAGTACCCTTTTATTATGCAGAGATTTTCTTTTTTTGTAATTTATTGTGTTTTGTTGTTGTTGTTGAGAATATACACAATAGAACATACACCAATTCAGCAGTTTCTCCATGTACAATTCAGTGACACTGATTACATTCTTCAATTTATGCAACCATTCTCACCCTCCTTTCCCGAATTGTTCCTCCCCCATTATTAGCAGAGATCTTCACCATAATGATTTTGTTATAAAGGAATTCTTATTGGTTAAGGGATGAAGAAGGCAATAGAAGTTTATGTTAGGATTACATTTTGCTTCCCCATTTCTCAAAAAAGCCCATCTTTAGGCCAATTTAAGGCCATTTTTTAGTCCATTTAAAAATAAATCGAAAGAAGCCTTCACGAGGAAATTAGATTTGCTTGTTATTTCATTATCTCAAATAACTCTTAAGTGCCTTAGATTTCTCATAATTGCTTATTGAGATTTCCTCTTCATAAAACCCTTTATCGAAAAGATTCTCTCCTTTTCCCCACCCCTACTTTCACCCCATGGCATAGGAATCCTTTTTACTTGTCTGCAAGGCTTCTTAAGGAAGGTTGTATACAACTGTTCATAGGATTTGTGGACAACATTTGCCTTTAAAACCGCATTAGGCTGCCAATCCCAACTTTTCAGCCTGTGTTTATCCCAGATCTTTGCCCTATGTGACCGCTTTGTTCATCTAGGGAACGTTTCAAAATATGTGCTGGTGAAATTTATTGTTTACGGTTTTGTTTGTTTTTGTCCAAGTGGAAACAAATGACAAAAGTAAATTTTTTGACCTTAAACCAATGTGATAAAGGGCCATTCAGCTTGTTATATACATAGCCCATCACGAGAAAAGTGTTCCTAAAAGCCATTTCACATGAACTCTTATTAGACGAGTCTGTCTGGAAGCAAATTGCATTTTTTTTTGTTGTAGCATCATCTGGCTCTGTACATAAAACTACATATTTTAAGACTTGGAGCGATCAAAATAAGTGAAGTCTCTAATACAAATACTATCCATTTATTTTAAGGAAGGCAAATTTTATTCTTTGATCTTACTATATTTTAGGGAAAAAATACCTGGAATTGACATCTATGGGTCCAGAATGTGAGTCAGTTGTAATTTTTTTGGTAATTAATGCCCGGGCAGCAGGGTTGATGTGATGGGCTACAGATGGATTCAGTCTGTTCTTATGATGATCTGGCCTCATTTTTAAGAGAACGTATAGGTTTTATGTTTACCTTAGTGGTTTTCTGAAGTCAGTAGAGGTTCATCTGTAGAATTAGATGATGTACTTTGGGCAAAAGATCTGTAAAGTACAAGGTAGGAAATTTTACAGTGTCTCTTGTATTTGATCTGAAATGGTTAGACTTTTTACATCAGAGAATCATACCTTCTATAAGCCCTTTTGAGAAAAAGTGTTAAATCTTTGTCAAAAACTCTGAAATTTTCTTGGGTGTACCAACCAAACAAACCAACCCTATTGCCATCGAGTCAATTCCAACTCATAGCGACCCTATAGGACAGAGTAGAACTGCCTCGTAGGGTCTCCAAAGAGCGGCTGGTGGATTCAACCTGCCAGCCTTTTGGTCAGCAGCCAAGCTCTTAACCGCTGCGTGGACAGGGTTCCTTCTTGGGTATAGGAAGCAGTTATTTGCTTTCTATTCCTGCTTCCTAACGTGATTGGCAGATAGTTAAATGATAAATGAGAAATGTCAGATAAACATTTTGGTTTCTCAGTCATGCAGATGAGTGCAAAAAAAAAATCCTTGGTCTTCACAAAACAAAGTAATTTTCCATTATTTTTGTTATATACCTCTGGAAAAGTCTTGCCCTAAAAGTTTCTAGTTAACAAGTTCCTTCCTTTCTCCCTCCCTTCCTTCCTTCTAAGCAGGGGACATTTATTAGGGTGTATTTATTAGGGTCTGTCTTAGCCAGGCGGCAAAGTAACAAGAACGTGTAAGTGTGTGACTGAGGCACAGCGACAATTTCCTTGTGTGATCATAAGATCGACCCTTGAATGGTGACAGATTTCTCCCCCAAGCTAGTAATAGAAGAGGTAGTGAGCCCGTAACTAGGGCCTCCTCTCACCCATAGACTTATCCAGCCGAATGGTCTGTACTGACCTGTGCTGTAGTGAACTTTGGGCATCCGCTGTAAGGAACCAGATGGGCAATGGTTGCTGTGACCACTCACCAGCGTCTTTTGAGCTTTCATATATCCTTTTGTACTCTTGTTTCCTGGCTTGGTAGCAAGCCAAAGGGAAAATGGCCTTAATGAAGTGTAAGTTATTTTCATTAACTCTCAAACCTAGATCACCCTTGGAAGGCTGAGCCAGTGCAGGTGGACACAGAAGGAAGTGATGGCGTCTGCTGCCCATCTCTCCATCTTCTGCCAGCCTCTCTTCCAGAGTTGTTATTCTCATGGTCTGTGTAGTGAAACTTAGACCATGTTTGCGTACTTCCTGCGAAACCAGTGAATTGAGTAAAGTGTCAACGAGTTACCCAAACAAACGCCTGCCCAGGTCTTACTGCATTTTTGTCAAATCTGGTGTCAGAAGTTGGAGTTTGCTTTTCACTGGTCCAGTTCCCCCAAGGGTGCCATGTTAAGAAGCAGAATACAACAAGATAGCAAAATCTAGCAAAACCAGAACTTACTATGTTTGTTGTCAGCAGTTACTGACTAGCATCCTTACTTTCTTTAAAAACGATTTTTAAAAATAACCTTTTATTGTTACAGAAGCAGTCCATATGCATTGTAGAAAATGAGACAGTTCAGGCTAGCAAAAAGGAAAACATCCCATTCCTGTTACTCACTGCTGTTTACATCTTCGTTCTCTCTGTGAAGCTCTCTCCTCCCCAGTACTCTGCCTCACACTCCCAGCTCCGTCTCCACCACTCACAAGGACCACTGGGCTTCCTGTGGGTCCCCTGTGACCTGGAAAGTCTCTGCAGGCAGCAAACGGGGGCACTTGTGGTCTCCCCTTTGTTTCCCATTTTTCAGAGATCACCATCCTTCACTGCCTGATGTCCGCTAATTTAAAAACCTGTTCAGATATTTTGTCCTGCTGTGTAGTTTTACATGGGAGTGTAAATCAGTTCCCTGTCACTCTGACGTGATTGTCTACTTTGTATATTAATGATTTCCCAAACCAGGTTTATTTTCAGCTAGAAAATGAGGATATGGCCACTTACTTCACAGGAGAGTTGTGGAAAAGTACATCCACACGGTACTATGCAAACGTTAATAATAATGACTTTCTTACTGGATAGTGGTAGAGCTGGGGTTTGAACCCGGAAATTTGGCTCCAAAGTTGACCTCCTAACAACTATACTACAATTTGGTCATCGATTGCTTGCATGGGAGTGTATCAGTTCTCTATTGCCACAGAGATGCTGCATAACAAACCAGTCAAAACCTCGGTGACTGCACCAGAAGACACTTCCTTTTGTTCTTGAGTTCACGGACTGACTAGGCTGTGCCACTGCTCTGCACTGGGCCTGGGGGGGCTCATCACGGGCCTGTGTTGGTTTTGAGCAGGCTAGGTGGCTTTGCTGATCTTGGCTGGCGCTCTCATACCTGGGGCCTCAGGTCAGCTGAAGTTTCTTTTATTGGCTGTCTTCCTTGCATGATCTTTGTCCCATTCCTGCTGTGCCGCTTGTAGTTATTTTCAGTGATACTGTATTCTGATACCAAGCAGCAGACTTGAGAAAATATACTAGTGCGTTGAGGATAACCTACTACTACACAACTGAGGTTTTTTGCATGCAGTGTTTGTAAGTGAGTGGCATGCTAGAATTTTCTGGTGAATTTAACCCTGCCTTGAATTTACTGTTTTTAGCTAAAAGCTTTGGTATGCTCTTTTTTTCATTCACTGGGCACCTTTTTTGTTTTAAGGTGGATATTTTGGCTCAGATTGGTTGTGTTGAAAGTCTCAGCCAGTCACCACCTTCTTCATCTTCTCCTTCTTCTTCTTCCATAAATAAGGTAAAATTCAAACTTTAATACAAGAAGAAATAAATTATTTTATAACACCTGAAGTTAATCTTTTTTCCCAAGTGAGGTGACTGTTTCAGGTAAGGTATTATACCAGCGCTTTTCTTGGGGTATGGTGACACAGAAGGTGGAATATGCAAGAATTGGAAAGGTCATTGGGACTTCTGTCATGGAGACCTTTTAGTTGAAGCTTTCACTGAGACTTGGTGAATTTATGCCATAAGCAGTGAGGTCTAAGGAAGGAATTTTAATTAAGTATGGCTGACTGTGAGTCAGGAGGGGCTTGTAACATAACGGGTAGGAAAAGATGAGAATGAAGACATTGCTCAAGAGAAATGGGAGAGGAGGGAAAGGTGGAAGGCAAGTATAGAAGAGTCCCTTAGCAATGGAGCAGAACAGATCATTATCTGACCAAGTGTCTGCATTTAAGGGACCCTAGAGATTATAGGGGTTGAGAGCAAAGAAGTCAGAGGCGAAAGGATTATTAAACCAGATCGTTGCAGACAGTTTGTTACAACAGGGGTTAGGCAGTTGGAGAAAGTGAGATCTCAACATTTAGCACGTAGAAAATGTGCTGAGAACACTGAGAATTAGGAATTGCCTTTGGACTTCATGGGGAAACCGTTCTTCCTCTTTCTTCTGTGTATCTGAAGGAAACAGATCTTTGATTAGAATAGAAACTATCTTTAGTGCCTGTTCTCATCCCTCTCATTCAAAGTTGACCTGGCATTGCAATGTGTCTGACCTTTTCCTCTATAGCACAAGCTTAGATAGGTGTACTTACTACTCATGCGGGGATTTGCCCACCTCAAAGGACCGCTGGTCTTCATTCTTTTCTTTATGTCTTAGATGAACACCCACAGAATCAGTCAGATAGCCTGTACTGAATGCATACTGTGTGCCAGGTATTGGTTGAAGTGCTTGCATGCATTTTCATTTAATCCTTACAGAATGCCTACGAGGAAGGTAATGTCATTATACTCATTTTATAGGTGTGGATGCTAAGACCTCAAAAGTAAATTGCCTAAGTTCACACAGCTAGAAAGTGGTAAAGCTGGGATTCAAACCCAAACAGGCTCCAGAGCCAAAGTTCTTAACCACCGTACCCATGTGAAATTTACTTGATTCAAATTTCTCCAGTTCAGTAGAAGGATTTAAATTCCACCCAGTGGACCGATATTCTTATCCCTGCCCCTTCTACCGTATATTATATGTTTGTAAGATGTGCAGCTTTCCAGAAGTTACCGTCTAGTGTATCTGTTTTCTGTTCTTCCCAGCTTATTTAATTTGCTTCTAGCAGTCTTGCTGAATGTGAGTCAGGCTGCCTGGGTTTGAATCCTAGCCTGAGGTATCAGCTAGAAAACGGTGGCGCTAGAATTGGACCCCATGCAGCCTGACTCGGGCCGTGCCCCTAACTGGGCGGCCCTCCGCCTCCGTCTTTAACTGACCCTCTGTGAGCCCTTTCGCCAGGGGTCCTGCTCATTCACTGGCTTAGGAAAATCATGTGACTCCCCTGGTCTGCACTCCTTACCGTCTCATTACCCAGAGCTTTTGTACTTTTTGAAGCTTTTATTCTAGAAATAAAACCTCAGAGTTGAGAGGGCACAGAGTACATATTGCTGAATAAAACCCCCTTAAAGAAAACTACAGAAGGGAGGGCTTTCTCTCTAACGTGTTGATTGTCAGGCCATTAGCATGAGTGCTTTCGTTTCTGATGTTAAGAGTTCATCTTATCAGCCCAGTGTCACTTTGTATGTGAGGAGTATACTGTCATGTGGAGGAAATGTCGTTCTGCTATTAATATTTAATTTAAAGTTACTAGTAACTGCATTTTTTTCCCCTTAAAGGTATAAGAGATGCTAGAATGAAATCATACTTCCATATATAAAATATATACCTTTTTTTGGATGCACCTGAGATGTGGTAGTCAGTTATCCACCCCACTGGAATAGTCACTGTAGCATTTTAAAACATTCGAGAGGTATATTAAACGGTTTGGATAATTTCTTGCAAACCTCTCTTTCTCTCTTTTTTTTACCACTGCCAATTTTTTTTTTTTTTTTTAATATGAGAAAGATTTGAATAGAAGGGAAAACTTCCTATTCCGTGTTCTTGGATAAACAAATTCAGTATGGTAATTGTGAAAAAAAAGGCACTATTAATTTTCCTTGAATTTATTTGTTAATTTAAGGTGATTCAAATGAAAATACATTTTTAAACTTGCTATTCTAATAAAGTTCAGAGTATCTAGTTTAGAAAAGTCCAGAAATAGGCCCAAATTTTGTGTATGATAAAGATGGCATTCCATATCAGTGTGGAAAAGATGGGTTGTCCAGTAAATGGTGTTAGGACAACAGACTGACTACAAGAAAAGATTAAGCTGGATCCCTATGTCATTTCTTACACCGAAGTACATTCCAGACAGATCAAGGATTTAAATATAAAAAAATCACGCAAGGAAACAAAAAGCAAAGAACATGGTTGCCTCGGGTGGGTGTGCCTGGGGCAGGGAAACTGGGAGGCCGAGGAGCAGGATGAGAGGGGCACCCTGCCTGCAGTCTTCTTTCGAATCCCCTGCCTTGTATTGCCTGTTCTAAAATTTTATTTATAATACAGATAATGAAACTGTAAAGTTACTTGGAGGACTAGTGAGAGAAAAATATTTTAAAAATATTTTTGGCATATAGATGCCCCCTTTCATGCAAGACAAACAAAAAACAAAAAGCCAGTGTGTCTGTGGGAGTATAGGAGCATGCCTGTGTGCAATCTCTTTGGAAGGCACTTCGACGAAGGCCGTCGGTTTTAAATGCTTAGTCTTCTCAGCCGAGCAGTTTTACTTCTGGGGATTCTAGATCTGTTGGGCCTGAGGGAAAGGCTGTGCAGGTGTGTGCATTGTAGCTGCATCAATAGCAGCCAGGCACTGAAAACAAGCTCAGTAAACATCAGGAGAGGCTGGTGAAGTTAGGGGAGAGAAATACAGTGGGATTCTGTGGCGTCATGTCAGAGAATGGTGTGATCTACATGTGTGGATGTATCTTGGAGAATGTTTCATGCTATTCAGTGAAAAAATAAAGTACAGAACAAGAAGTATCATTTGGGCCCGCTTTGAAAACAAGGATCTCTGTGCATGAACTGTTTTCCGTGAGTACACCCAAGGAATTTGTGAAGGACACTTGTCTTGGAGAGAATCACTGGGGGCTTAGGGTGGTTCGCGTATGTATATATATTTTTATTGTACATTATTATCCTTTTATTCTGTGTGATCTTTTTTTACTGTGCATGTATTGCTTTTTCACATAAAAATAAAAGCCCAGTTAAAAATACAACCGATGGCTGTAGAGGAGCCACAGTGAATGAAACAGATCCTCATTATCAGCACGTATAATCTCAAAAACATAATGATGAGTGGAAAAAAAGCAAGTCACAAAGAGATACATACAACGTGATTCTGTTTAGACCAATTAAAAAATATGAAATAAGTGTTATTTCTGAATGTGTACATTTGCAATGGAAGTATAAACACATCCCTGGGAATGAATACAAGGTTCCAAAAAGTAGTGGCTTCTAGGAAGGAGGAAGAGAGGGCAGTGGGCCTTTAACTATGTCCATTGGTTTCTTTGTTACTGTTTTTAAAGGTTCGGAAGCAAATATGGCGAAATGTTATCCTTAATAAAATCAGGTTGATGCTGCTTTTTGTTAGATGTCTCTGGGTGGTACAAACGTTTGGCTGGGCACTTAGCTGCTAACTGAAAGATTGAAAGTTCACCTCCACTCAGAGGCACCTCAGAAGAAAGGTCTGGTGACCTACTTCCGAAAAATCAGCCATTGAAAACCCCGTGGAGCACAGTTCTACTCTGACACACATGGGGTCACCATGAGTCGGAGTTGACAACAACAGCAACTACATGTTTGAAAATTTTTAGCAATAAAGATGAAACTTGTTTTAAATAAATTCCTGTTGATTCCTTAGCACCCCTGTTGTATCCCATTGTCATGTTATTCCTATTTAACTGAGTAATGGTTTCCAGAAGTCACAAATACTCCTTCTCCCTTTCTACCCCTGACAACACAGGTCAGTGGTGGCAACGACCCGTGGTCTCCCTGGAGCGCACCCAAACCTGGGAACTGGGAGGGCACAGATGGCTGGGGAACCAAGCCTGAAGGAACTGCTGCCCAAAGAAGCACCTCCAATAACTGGGACGCTGCCTTCGGCCATCCCCAGGCCTACCAAGGACCAGGTGCGAAGGGGCCCTGCGGGGGATAAAGCCCACCCCTTACAGTGACGGGGTGCTCAGAGTTAAAAACCGATCTTTATTCCAAGGAACTGCTTGCAGATGCTGTTATCCACTTGTAGCAAACCTGTTTTTCTAGATCCAAATGCAGGTTCATTTATTCTTTAGTCCAGTCTCGGCTATCTGTCAAGGGGTTGCACGGTCACGTGTCTGCAGGGGCCAGTTTCCTAAAGTGTACAGCCGGCCAGGTGGAGGCATGGACGGCTGATTGATGCCATTGTAGAAAAATGGAGTAAGTCTTTCTAGACCCCCACGTTTTTACAGCGGGGCTGGAAAGCTAGATATTTCGGTGATCTTCCCACTTTAAAATCTTGGCAACTAATGCACATTTGTTAAAATCTTGGGCCAGATAATGTGTATACAGATCGAAAGCAGTTCATCACGTGTTGGTTCCTTACCTCTGTATTAGCTGGTTTATTATTTCCGTAACTTCCCGGGGAGAAGCAGGGCTTATAGAAGGGGAAACAATTCAGGAATTAAGAAATTCAGTAAAAAGACAGCTCTGCCCATTACTTTCTTAGGATCCCTCCATCCTGTCACCTCTGTTAACACTTTGTGCCAAGAATCGAGTGTTCTAAACGGACAGACCTCGCACCCAGGGACCATGAAAAGGCACAGGTCCTAGTCCAAAGCCACTAGTTGTTGACAGGAGTGTGACTCTCAGCAGGACCAGGAGTTGTGGCCCAGGCAGCTAACAGAGGCTAGACTGCTGGTTCTAAAACCACATGGCGTGGCCACAGGAAACATGGGCCGGGTCCTTCTGATGGTTTCCATTCTTTTTCCTTTTGGCATCTGTCTCTCAGCTTCTTCTCTGTGGTGGCAGTCTTAGCCCGCAGAGCCCAGTGCTGTGTACTGCCTCACAATAAAAGGACACCTCAGGCCATTGGGTGGGAGACAGAGGCTTTAAACAATGGGAAGAGGAAGGAAGGAAGGGAGGGAAAAAGGTGAGTAGCAGGGAGGGAGGGAGATAAGGCTACAATGCTGTTAATTGCTTCTTTTTCCCCCATTTTTTCTGATTCTCCCCTCCCCGCCAGCCCACTGCGTGTTCTTTTCATTGCCCATCCCTTACCTTTATTAGAAGTGTTAAACTTGGCCTTTTCAAAGACCCATCATCCCTTTTGTCCTCCCCAGGGCTTCTTGGCTTAATGGGTGTATATTCTGCTTATTGGTAAGTTTATAAGGCTAAACTTATCAGTGGATCAGGATGCTGGGTGGCCTTGTCTTGTGGGTCGGCCACTTAACATTTTTACAGTGGGCATTTATCTGTAGTTACCAGACTGACAGCCCCTTTGAGTTGTCTCTGAGCCCCGATCCTATAGTAAGGTAGGGCTTTACTGTTTCTAGTTGTGTGTGTAATGTTATGCTTGGAGCCTGGCCTGCGGCATAATTATTTCAGTTGGAAGCATGACATTAACAAAACAATCATTTTCCGACAATTTGATCTTGATTGATTGTTCCAAAAAGATAAAGAAACTACTATTGGTTGACCATCTCCTGTTTTCCAGGCACTTGGGTAGATGGTTTGCATATATTTTATCAGTCAGTCTTCACAGCCATCCGGAGAGATGTGTGTTTCATTTTGTAGATGGGGAGATGAGGATTAAGGAGATCAGGTAATCAATAATCCGAGCCTGAGAACTGTCTGACTACACAGCCCCTGCTGTCGACCTCTGCGCTTTACCTCCATACTGCATCCTTTTCTCTGTCTTCTTTTTAAATGGACCATCAGCCCAGTTGGTCGTGATTATCAGAAGTTTAAGTAGTTTTTCTTTTATTTTGTTTTTCTTTACTAATGCTCTTCTGTTCTCACTCTAGCAACTGGTGATGACGATGACTGGGACGAAGACTGGGATGAACCCAAGTCCTCGTTGCCTTACTTTAAGGATTCAGAGTCCGCCGAAGCGGGAGGCGCTCCGCGAGGAAACAGCCGGCCTGGGTCATCGTCCATGAAGCTGCCGCTGAACAAGTGCGTCTGCAGCGGGGCAGGGGCGCCTGATCTGTGTGGGAGACACGGACAGAGCACGGGGCAGCTGCTTCTCCCTTTTTAGTGACCTACTAAGTTCTGGGTGTGATCTGGCCATTTTTATTTGGATCTTAGCTTGGAAGCTTATTTTTTTTTTTAAAAAAAGAATCTTTATTTTACAAGGTCAATGTGTGAAATATTTTTTATTTAATGACCTGCCAAATAGTTTTCATTACTCTTTCCTTCACCCACCCTATGACATGTTCATGTTGCAGTGATGTCACAGGAAAGCTGATAATAACACCAGCTCTCTTTTACCTTTTTCACTATTTATAAATCACTTACCCTGTGCCAAGCATTGTGCAGAGTGGTTTATATACACTCTCACTCAACCTTCATAGCCCGGTGAGCTAGATACAATCCCTGTTTAACCGTGGGAAAAGCTGAAGCTCCGAGAGGGGAGGGAACTGCCCAAACTGACACGGGCGGTAAGTAGTCCAGTCAGGATCCCAGGCCAGCCTCCAGCTGCCATGCTCTCAGGTACTGTGCCTACTGTGTTTAAAACTTTTTTTCCCTCTTAGGTTAAAAAAAAATGTTTTCAATGGTTCTCATAGACATACTGCTTAAAAGGAAAGAACGTGGGAAAGAGTGAATATGGTGAACAGCCCTCATAGACGTTCTCCTGGATAAGTCTATAGTTCATACCACTGTTGCTGGAAGGATATATCATTTACAACCTCCATAAGAATCTTCCTGTAGTCAGCGATTCCATTTAAAATAGTTTTATTTTCTAAAATACTAATACATTTTCTCATTGTTAATCTTATGTCTGGAAAAAAATTGAAAACATAATGTTTGATTGTAACTAGATGTCTGGATCCACGTATACATAAATTCATTGAGTCCTACAAGTTCTTTATAGTGTGTTTAAATAGTGTCAGGTGATTAAATGAGTTATCTTTTGGCTACACACCTTTTCTGCCTCTCTGTACATTTTCTGTGATGAGGTAGTTTCATACTCTGTTGCATGCATAGTAAATGTAGCCATTCAGTATCACCTGCCCCATTTCTTAGAGTCAAATTAGAAGTTCTCCATATTGTCAGTAGTAATATATATTACTCTCAATTCTTCAAGCCTAAACACAAAGTATATTTAAACCCCATTTAAATACAATGTCTCTTTTGGCCCATTTTGAAAATGAGGCAACATTGAGTGTCTCTTTGAGAAAAATGACTGGCTGTGTTTTAAGAGCTAGTGGCTGAGGTTGTGCTCTCTGCTGCACGCTCTCCACACACCTCCTCGCTAACTTACTGTGTCATCGTGACCTGCTTGGACCTCTGTGTCCTCAGCTGTGAAGTGAAGGGCTTGCTTCAATTAAGAACTCTTTCAGCTCTAAAATTGCATTCCAGGTTGAAACCAAACTAGAACAGTCCTAATCTGAACCTGTATCTCCAAGGCTTCCTTGTCTGTCTGTGGTGCTGGAAACAATTTAAAATCCTATAGTATCTTTATTTAACTCAACTAAATGTATAAATGAGTTAAACAGTTGTAAAATTAAAAAAAAAAAATTAACACTTTTCAGCAATGTATCCACTTTATATGACAGCTATATTCCAGTCACGGAATAAAACTTTATACTTGAAAAGGAGATCCGAATTTTAAATATACTCGAGCATTACAGGAATCCGTCTTGATAACGCTCAGAGAATTAAAAAAGGGCAGTGCTCGTCAGTGAGGGTGAAATGAGTGGTGGGAGATGTGATTTCTGCACCTAGAAGCTGGCAGTCTTGTCAAGGAGCTGTCACTGTGTGCAGCCTCTCAGGTTCTCCATCAGCGTTTTCTACCAAAGAATCCTTCTTTGATAAAAATGTTCCCGGTTAGCCCCTGGATTTGTTAGCATTTAATCTGTTCCGGAACTCCTGTAGGTCCTGGAAATACAAATACTTTCTCTGAGGTTCCTCTAGTCTGCTGCAGTGGGTAAATGGATAATGGCCATTAAGTATGATAAATTCAGCAGCAAATGTACGCTCAGAATGCTGAGGCAATACAGAGAAGGCTCCTCCTGAAGCTGTAGGGCATCCTTTCAAAGAGAAGATGATAAAAGTACAAATAATTTTATGTGAGTATATACTAGGCTCTTTGCACAAATCTTTTTACTTAATTTCCCATCATCTTAGAAGGCAGGTGGTATCGGCCCCGTTGACACCAGGAGACTCAAGCTCAGAAGGCTATATAGCTATTAAGTGTTAGAGCAAAACTTCAGAACTCCTCTTTGTTCTCTCTGCTATGAGCTGTGCTATAAAGAATGACTTGGCAAACAAGCGGGGATGGAGGGAAGTGAGTCTGGAATGGAGGAAACCAGTGTGCCAAGTCACAAACCCCTGGAGCGTCACAATGGCCTTTAGTATATGGATGAAATTAGAAGTGGTGTAGCTGGGGTTTTTCTTAGAAATAAGGTTCCTTTTCTTATTTTAGGCATTTGGTTTTCTGAATTTTTCCCCCTGGTTTGTTTTTTCTGTTTGTTAAAAGTTTTCAAATCCCAAATTAATCTTGTCTTCAGAAGTAGCACTTTGAACAGCTAGACATTTATTCCAGCTGTTTCACAGTTTTAGATATTTCCTTTGGGTGTAGGTTTGATTTCTGGAAGAAGCCCAGCTTACTTATTACATTTTTGGGCCTTAAGTGAGGCATGTCTCTTTACTAAGGAGCCCAGTTTTCTTATGTCTCATAGACTGGGTCTGAAGACAGTTCCAAAAGAAAATGACACAAATGTCCAACAGTGAAAGCCTCTTTGGAAGAATTGTGGTCCCCCAGAGCGAGGATGCTGAAGGGCTGCTTTAATTTGCATATAGAAATGCTGGTGTGTGGCTGTTGCCCCATATGTGGCTCCTGCCCCGTATGTGGCCAGCTCACATTGCTCTGTGCAGCGCTTCTCCCTCCCATGAACAAGCTGACATTTTCTAGTCTGCCCTTCACTCTTTGTTGGGTGACAGAATGTTTCAGGTGCAGCTAAGCAAACAGAACAGCCATAAGTATCACACCTTCTGGAATCAAACTGTCCTCTTACCAGATAAAGCTTAATTAAATGGCTAATTGGCCATTGAACAATCTGATTACATTAGGTTTCATTTACCACAGTTTCCTAGTTCTAGTACATCTGAAAGACAGAACAAAGTTAAAACTGTTTTATTAAGTAAATGTGGGAGAGACTTGTAGGATTCTTACTTATAAAGAATGATATAAAGACTCAGGAGCATTTGTCTTCATGATTAGGTTTCCTGGATTCACAAAACCTGGACTGGAGCAGTATTTGTTGGCCAAGCAACTAGCAAAACCCAAAGAGAAAATTCCCATCATTGTAAGTTCTTTCATTTTTGTTTGCTTGCTTTGTTTCTAATTAAGCTCTCTTACTATACCTTAAAGCTAACAGGATTATTTGTGTTTTGGAAAGTATTTTTAAATGTTTTTACTGCTCCAAATAACTGACATTATGTGTTAGTATTTTAGAAACACTAAAGATAATTCACATATACTAATGCCTGTCATTATATTGTTGAGATATCCTTTATTTTTATCTTTAAGACTATTAGTAATTGAAGTAACAACTCCCATGGTTTGTATTCTTTTAATAATTTTTCTCCTGCAGACTGTCTTGAAGTATATCTTACATGCTATTTTACATCAGCCCTACATAATTAGCTAATAAACCCAGTTCGAATATTTAGGCTTCTACCCTGGCAAAGTACATGTGTGTTATCAGAATAAGGTGCCTTTTCCTATATGCTGGTGAGAATTAGTCTTCTAGGAGGACGCCGGTCAGGTCAGGACAAGGAACTAGCAAGTGAAAGCTGGGAGTTAATGACAGTAAGACTATCTGCCTTAGAATAACTTATTATACAGCGTGACACACAGCCTTTTTGGTTTCGTCCCAAATTTTGATTGCTGGTAGAGTTTCTATCTAGGCATGATCTAGCTAGCTGTTCCCAAACAAAATTCTGGGAAAGAAAACTCCCATTGCTCTTGGTATGTTCTTTGATAAATCTACCGGGCCATTTTCTGACCCTGTTGACTTAGCCCTGTAACTGTAAGATGGGGGAGAGCCTTCAGCCTGCTTACCTGGCATCAAACAAGGATGAGGAAGCATTAGGTCTTAGTCTATAATCTCTGGTTCCTGAGAGATGTGCTAAAACTGCAGGAGTGAAAGTGGAGTTCTTTATTAATTGTTCCCACATCTTTGAAAAGCTTAAATTCTGGAAACCTGCAGACAGAAGGGCTGTGACCAAGAGCCCCTTTTTTCCTCCTACCCTCAAAGCAAATTTGGAGTCATTATCCTCTAGGTGGTTAGTTTAAAGATTAATTTAATTTTCTTCTGTTTTCTCCAGACTGTTTTTTAATACTACACATGTATTATTGTTCTTTCCATGAAATTTAAAGCAACTCCACAGAATTAAGAGCCATGGCCCTGCCTCTCTGCTTCTCAGAGGGGAACTTGTCACAAGCTCGATAGTGGTGGAGTGAGGCTAGAGGACCCTAGCATTTGAGTTTCACCACAAATTGTACATAGAACTAGGTCTGTGCACCTGTAGACAGGCCTGCCCACGTAGGTTTCTTGCACAGAAAAGGAAGCTGAGGGGAACCACTGAGTCTTCGGGAAACCAAGGGAAGGCAGAGACCTGGTTCTTTGCTTTTAAGGCACAGTAACCCATCCCACTAATAAAACACGGCCCTGCAAATGTTGGGCGCTAGTTAGTCAGAGTAGCCTCTTTGGGCCCCAGTCACTGAGAAGAAGTTCTCCACCAGCTCGTCTGGTAAATTCCTGCTCTGCAGCCATCAGAGAATTTCCTGCATCTGGGCTCCCTCTGGGAGAACTGTAGTAGCTTATTCTCAAGGTTCTTCCCTTTAGTCCGCTACTGAACTTCACTGGGACCTGGTCACCTTCTTGATCTAATAACCTCTGCACCTCCGTGCTCTGCCCACCCAGCTCTTTGCTTTAAGAAGGATGAGGACTGGGTGTGTTTCCTTTTGCCCTGTTACATCTGCCCAGCCTCGCCTCCTAGATCTCAGCCCACACAGACCTCTTCCTGCAGCTGGTCTGCGTGTCTTCCCTCATTTTCTTTTTACTTTCGTACTGTACTTTTTCTGTTTTAGAAACTGTTTTGAACTTCTGAATGAATCTTTTCCCTAGAAATAGTGTTCCGTTTGCAGACCACCTGTTTATTCTTTCTGTCTTGTTCCTGGATTGTTATAATTCTGTTAAATTATTTTTCTATTCAGATTCAAGAAGATACCATATTCCCTGTATTATAAGGGCTCCCATTGCTTTTTATATGTTCTTTGATAAAATTACCGCCCTGCACTCTGAATCTCTGAAATCGACAGCCATGACCAGGGTTTATGGAACGAATGATCCAGAGCCAACCCCAGACCACTGGTGTTGCAGGGAGTGATCTCAGGGCCTGTGCGTGAGCCCCACAAGTCCGCATTCCTCCACTGCTTCCTCCTTGGCCCTGGGAGCATTTGTAAACAGGATGAAAGGAACCAGATTTGGGGAAGCAGCTCTTGTCACTTACGCATGCTTAACAGAAATGGTGTGCAGGCTCAAAACTTACAGACTGGCTCTCTATGCCCCCAGGTGGAACTTAGCTGGTTACCTTCTTTTGCCCCCGTTAAAACCCCCAGTAATCTAGTGCAAGCCCAAACCTCACCTGGGATACTGGCCGTGTTCTCAGTTTGGGCTGCCACAGCCCCTGCTAGTCAAGGCCTGCTGGCTTAGCTTGCTGCAAGGCCACACCAAGAGCCTCACACTCTCCAAGAGGGGCTGACTTCCCACTTGCCACTTTTTATATAGAGCAGGTGACACCTCCTCAGCCCATACCACCTTAGTTTTTTGGTTTACATCAATTATATTTCCTATTTTGCCATGTAACAAAATTAACTCTTTCTGTAATGTGTAGGTTGGAGATTATGGCCCAATGTGGTTTTATCCTACCTCTACGTTCGACTGTGTGGTAGCAGATCCCAAAAAAGGTACCAAGATGTACGGTCTGAAGAGCTACATTGAGTATCAGTTAACACCCACTGTAAGTACCCCAGTTACCAGAAACACAATCATGCTTGCGTCACCAGTTACAATTTGCTTTTTTCTTCGTTTTCTGTAGGTGGCATTGTTAACTCTTTCTTCTCTCTCCCTTGTTTGGTAGAACACTAATCGATCGGTGAACCACAGGTATAAGCACTTTGACTGGCTGTATGAACGTCTCCTGGTTAAGTTTGGGTCAGCCATTCCAATCCCTTCTCTTCCAGATAAGCAAGTCACAGGTGAGTGTGTTTAACAGGGAACCCAGGATGACAAGTTAAAAGACCCCAGTTAGATTATCCTAATGTAAATCAGTAACGATGTTTCCCACAGCCTAGAGGAGCAAGATGTATGAGCTTGGGAACAGTGGCTAAATCAACTATAAGGCAAGAGCCATAGCACAAAGCACATGAATATTGACAGTTACCTAATAAGCATGTTCAATAAAATTTTCTGTCAGAGTTCTTGTGTGTATACACATCTTGAATTTGAGCAACATTACTGTGTCTTTATTACTGCACTTTTTCCTACAAAAGAAATATGTGAATTTACAAAATACCTGAAAAATGACACCTGAGAAAACACAAATGATCCAGTATCCTAAAATGAAAAGAAAAATATATGACCCAATTGATGTAAACATGTTGTGCGAACCAGCTGTGTCCTTTTCGTTAGAAGTATGTAAACATCAGAAGTAGAAGTTACGGAGGGTCTAAGACTCGATGCAGGAAGTTGCTCAGCATTCTACTTAATTATTTTGGTGTCTGTTGATTTTAAATGTTTTTATTTATCATTGACTGGTACCCTCTCCCTTTTCTTGTTTATTTGAAGTGTCACGCTTTCCTCACCTCCTCCACAAAAAAATCTTGTCATAAATAATCTACCAGAGCCCCTTGTAATGGGCAGTTAGAAAGTATTTGTTTCTGTGTCAGTTTTGAAAACTGTTTTATTGAGTGATTTTTTTTTTTTTTTTTTTTTTAAATCTCCAGCCTAGCGAAGAACCTGGTATATTAGTACTCAAGGACTCAGTACGTTTGTCTCAGAATAAGAGTTTGTGAAGAAGCTGAGCTTGACTGGAAGTTTAGAATGGGTTTGAGAATATAGGTAGAAAAGTTTCAGATAAATGGAACTAGTAAGTGCAGAGAGGAATGGATCGTGTTGACAGTAAACAGGTCAGAGGCACGGAGGCCTCTGGGGAGGTGAAAGAGAATCCAAGGACCAACCCAAACCCTTTGAGAAGAACAGGCATCTGGGAAGGAGGTGTCTTTCCCCAGAGATCAGGGAAGACTTGAGAGGGTGTAAGCCTTACTTAGTGAGAGTGGAGGTGAACAGTTTGTAAGAGGGCCTTGGAGTCTCCACCAGGCAGGTCAACGTGCCAGCTCCAGACTGCCTGAGCACCAAGTCAGGTTTGCCCCTGTATGCCAGGTTTCACAAGTGCCCAACACTACACTAGGGGAGGTATTTCCATCTTCACTTTATATGCAAGGAAGCTGAAATTCAGGGGAGTTAAGCAGGCTGTGCTCAGTATAGCTATAAAAGGAATTTGGATCTGATTCTGAAGCTTGTGCCATTTACATATGTGATGTGGACCAACTGATCTTTAGCTAGAATTAGTTGTTGTTGCTGTTAGGTGCCATCGAGTTGGTTCTGACTCATGGTGACCCCATGTACAACAGAACAAAACACTGCCATCGTGAACCATCTTCACAGTAGTTGTTACGCTTGAGCCCATTGTTGCAGCCTCTATGTCAGTCCATCGTGTTGAAGGTCTTACTCTTTTTCGCTATCTACCAAGCATGATGTCCTTCTCCAGGGACTGATGCCTCCTGAATAACATGTGCAAAGTATATGAGATGAAGTCTCGCCATCCTTGCTTCTAAGGGGCATTCTGGTTGTACTTCTTTCAAGACAGATTTGTTTGTTCTTCTGGCAGTCCATGGTATATTCAATATTCTTCGCCATCACCACAGTTCAAGGGCATCAGTTCTTCTTCAGTCTTCCTTATTCATTGTCCATCTTTTGCATGCATATGAGGTGATAGAAAACACCATGGCTTGGGTCAGGCGCACCTTAGTCCTTAAAGTGACATCTTTGCTTGTTAACACTTCAAAGCGGTCTTTTGCAGCAGATTTGCTCTATGCAATATGTCCCTTAATTTCTTGACTGCTGCTTCCATGGGTGTTGATTGTGGAGCCAAGTAAAATGAAGTCCTTCACAACTTCAGTATTTTCTCCATTTAGCATGTTGCTTATCGGTCCAGTTGTGAGGATTTTTGTTTTCTTTATGTTGAGGTGTAATCCATTCCGAAGGCTGTTGTCTTTGATCTTCATCAGTAAGTACTTCAAGTCCTCTTCACTGTCAGCCAGCAAGGTTGTGTCATCTGCATAACACAGTTTGTTGATGAGTCTTCCTCCAATCTTGATGCCCCTTTCTTCTTCATGTAGTCCAGCTTCTCAGATTATTTGCTCAGTGTAGAGATTGAATAAGTATGGTGAAAGGATATAACACTGATGCATACCTTTCCTGATTTTAAACCACACAGTGTCCCCTTGTTCTGTTTGAATGACTGTCTCTTTGTCTATGTATAGGTTCCTCATGAGCACAGTTAAGCTGGAATTCCCATTCTTTGTAGTGTTATTTTTAACAAATTGTTGTTTTGATTTTTTTGAAAATTTTTCAAACATTTCAAGTTATCCCAGCACAATGGAGAGTGGGCGCATCGCGGGTAGATCAACACGTCCAGGCAGCCGTGTGGGTTACGCCTTGGCAGCCCCCAGTGGGGCTGGGCAGTTTCATGAAAGCCGTCCTTAGGACAGCCAGGCAGGCTGTGAGTACTGCTTCCTCCCGCTCGGGGTGCTCCCTCCCCCAGTCCTACACCCAGTTCACAAGCTGCCTGTCCCTGGTTCTTGTCGTCCTTATTGCTTTAAATCTCAGCCACTTTTTAAAAATTTAGACTTTTATCCCTGAAAACTTCAGTTCTTTTTCTCCTTATTTTCAAATTTCAGTGTTTTGGTGAATTTTGTACTCTCCTTTGTCAACTTGATTAGCACAGTGTGCCCAATGTAAACGGATTGATGAGCTATTTAAGAGTTGTTGGGGTTTTTTCTATCTTTTAGGTTTTACATGTGTTGTTTATCCTGATTCAGATAATTGAGTGTTATTTCAAAGCATCATAGAGTCATGGCTCCCCTCCCATAGGAAAATTCGTTTGTTTTTTTTTTTTAAAAAAAGGCATGCAGCCAGAGGGATGTCATAGGAGAGCAGGAAAGCAACAGCCCTCTGTGTGAGGAAAGTTGAGCTTTGGTTCACTGGCTGGGCTGTGTGCCGAGGAAATCGGGAAGCACAGAAGTGACTTTATTCCCCCTTCTCTCTCGTTTGTCTCCCACCCCCACTGCACAAGATCATTATTATAGAAAAACTCCCCTCTCACTTCATCCTGGAGGGAGAAAGGAAAAGTAATGAAGTAGATGACATCAGGATATTTCAGTGGACTTGATAATTAATCCATGGAGAACTTTAAACAGTTAACATTTTTTGTTTATAGATTTTGTTCCCTGTGAAATAATATTGAATGAATTTGGTTTTTATTTCTGGGCTGTGCAAAACTGGTATATTCACATACTTAATGAAAACTGTAAGGAGCCCTGGTGGCGCAGTGGCTAAGCACTCGGCTGCTAACCAAAAGGTCGGCGCTTCGAACGCACCAGTGGCTCTGTGGGAGAAAAGACCTGGTGATCTGCTCCCTTAAAGGTAACAGCCTAGAAAACCCTAGAGGGCAGTTCTACTCTGTCCTATAGGGTTGCTGTGAGTCAGGATCGACTCGATGGCACACAGCAACAAGTGAAAACTGTAAGGTTCATTGAAAATGGAAACATAGAAGTCCCCCTTTCCCTTTTGTTTTGATTCTCTGGAACCTTGTGTGGAAATCTTAACCAAGCATAGAATAACATCTGAAGTCATAGTTTGGAGATGAACCAGCTATGTCAGAAAAATTCTCAGGAGGACAGTTTTTCAATAAGTAAGAATCATTAAATTTCCACCAGTGATTAGGCAACAGACTCTCAGCATAGTTCACTCATATTGAGGATTTCGGTTTAGCCCAGGTCCATGCTGACTTGGTCTTTTCTCTCCTGGAGAGATGGTCCTCTCCTTTCTGAGGGGTAAGACTTTGTCTCTGCATCACTTAAGTTTATGTACTATTTCATCTCTACTCAATAACTGGAAAATTTGAAATTCTTTAATATACAGGAAGTGTCCAGAACTATTGTGCTGTTCACGTCTCTAATGCTCTTCTATCAAAAGCCTCTTGCTTATTTTCACATGTAATTTCTAAAGGAAGATCCATGCTGTGCTTTTTAAAAAATGTTTTAAAATTTATGTACAGTAACGATCGCTGTGTGATGTGGTTGTTTTTCTTTTACTGCTTTTAAGATTTTCTTTTCGTCTTTCAGCAGTTTGATTCTGCCACATCCAGTGTGGGTCTTTTTGTGTTTATCCTACGTACAGTTTGTTGCGCTTTCTTAAATGTGTAGACTAAAGTTACCCATCAGATTTGGCAAGTTTTTGGCCATGATGTCTTCAAATATTTTTTTCTGTTCTCCTGGAAATCCCACTACAATCATGTTGGTAGGCTTGGTGTTTCCTGAGGCTCTGTGCATTTTACTTCAAGTTTTTGCCCTGTTCTTCACCTTAGGTGACTCCTATTGATCTATCTTCAAATTCACCAATTCTTTCTTCCACCATCTTGAATCTGCTGAGCCACTACAGTGAATTTTTTTTTTCAGTGATTGTGTTTGTCAGCTCTGGAATTTCCATTTGTTTCTTTTTTATAGTTTCGTCTTCTTGAGGATCTCAGTGTGTTGATTCCTTTCACATTTTTCTTTAATTTTTAAAACATGGTTTCCTTTAGTTCTCTGAACGTATTTATAGTAGCTGTTTCATCTATTCGTCTTGGCTTTTGTCTGCTAAATTCCACATCTGGGGACACTCAGCATACTGAGTATTTTAACAGATTTGTGAATATGGAAACTGTGAATAATGAGGACTGACTGTTGTTGCTTTGTGGGGATAGGATTAGCTGATCTCATTCAGCTGTAGACAGAATCCCACCTCCAGAAGCCTCTTAACGAGTAGTAATTTTTGTTTCTTAGGCTTATAGAGATTCTCAGTGTTTCCTCATTGTTTAGTATCTTTATTAAGCTGATTTTCTACTTTTAAAGCAGAAACATGACTGTTTAAGCTCTGCTTCAGTATGATCTTAAGTTCTAGGACAGAACCTTTTTTGTATCACAAACATGAAAATAAATACCTATTTTTCAGTTTTCACTTTAAGTAACTTAAAAAATAAAAAAGGAAGGGGGAGAAGAGCTGCAGCCCTGAGTCACTTTTCATAAATACTACATTTAAATTTGTAGGTGTTGAATTATATTGCACTTGAACACATTTTTACAAATGTAGAAATTGCATGCATTGTAAGACTTACTCGTTAACTTCCGCTTTATCACTCCCTTCTTTCCAGCAGGGCTTTGTGTGACTACACAGCAGCTGGCATAATGTTAATTTGTTAGATAATAGATATTTTTCATTTTGAGATAAGATTTTCTGTTAAGTTTATTGAGTTCTTTAGGAATCCATGAAGAAAATGGCACTTTGAGGTCGTGATGATTCTTGTCGTCGTAAAAAGGGTTGTATGTGTTTTAAATTGGACTTCCCTTCTTAAAAACTAGAAAGCCTGTTTGCATCCTCTAGTGGCCTCTGGGCATTCAGTATGTGGCCTGTGTTTAGGTTAGGGAAAAGTCCGCAAGATCTAGCTTTTATTAAATAGCTTTCTACACAGTAGCCGTAGCCACAGAGGGCTTTCCGGCTGTAGTAGTAGTAGTAATTCCTTTTGGACGAGTTGCACATCACACTTGGCGTGTCTCTTGCAGGTCGCTTTGAAGAGGAATTCATCAAAATGCGCATGGAGAGACTCCAGGGGTGGATGACCAGGATGTGCCGGCATCCTGTCATCTCAGAAAGCGAGGTTTTCCAACAGTTCCTCAATTTCCGGGATGAAAAGGTGGGACATTTTATGATGGTGGCCTGAGAGGATATTAAGAGTTCTCATGTTCACACTGGACTCATGTCTGAATGGAGCTAAAATTATGTTGCTTAGCTGGTTATATCTCATTTCCTCCAAAGACAATGGGAAGGCAGAAACCCAGTCCCAGCCGAGGATATTAGTGATGACCAATGAGTCAGGATATATGAAAGAACTGCTTGCCCATGGTTTCCCAGAAACTGGTAGTGGGTTGGCGCAGGGTGGGCAGGGGTAAAGGATAGAGTAGGACGATGAATTTTTTCTCACGTGCTTTAAAAACTAGGATAGATCCCAAACTGCACAGCGTATTGTCAGAGGGAAGTGAGGGCATAGATAGCCATGCTTCGGCCCTACAACATTACAGCCTTGTGAAAGGCTCAGAGACCAGCCTTTCTTCTCAGAACCAAGGTGCTTTTCCCTAACCGCATTGTGAGCCCAGAGTAGATGCTGGTCTCTCTGCCCACCGCTGTGGGCAATTACCTGCCAGTGATCATCTGCTCTTTTTTAAAGTCAAGAGAAAAGTTGTCTTCTGCTTGACATTTCATTATTGTCTGCTTTGGGAAAAGTAAGCTTTTACTGTACTTTTAATTGTATTTTTTTGTTCTCTAAAGACGTTCTCTCCATAATTTCTCTCCTTTCATAACAAATATTAAATATTTTAGAAAACACTCTAAAGAACAAAGGTTGGAAGCCAGTGGCAGATACTAAAAAAATAGATTATAATTCTGGGTAAAAGTCGTGAAGTTATTTTTGGCTTTAATCAAATAATAGGATATTATGTAAACCTTGTTGAAACTTTCAGATAGAGATTTACTTGCTGAGCATCTTGGCAGTACTTTTGTCCTGTTAAAGTGAAAACATTCATAAAAACAAATAGAAGTATCAGGGTTCTGTCTGTGTTACATTGATAGACATGCATATACTTCATATAATCATTTGGATCTTCTTTTCAGTTATTTCTAGATTTAGGAGGCTTGTTTGAATGTTTTGTATGTAATCAGGGAGGGAGTCAGCAAACCTTGAGGGCTCAGCCTTTCTTTGTATTTTGTGTATATCATAGGTCTAGCTTTGCAGGCTGCTCCAGAAACCCCAGTTTTTCTGTTTCGACATGCTGTTCAGCCAGTATGTCGCGTAGCCGTACAGCAGTGAAGCCAAGTTCTTGGAGTAGGTTCTCTATGAAAACCAATTTGGTTACTTCGTAGTTACAAAAACTACATGGAACTAACCTCCACATTTGCCTGTACTGGTTACCCAGAGGACTTTAGCAAGGGCTTATTTGGTTGATTTGCCAAGAATTTGATTTAGAAAGTACTTCTAACGGTCATATTTTATGCAGCGTGGGGTTTAAGAATACTAATAAATCTAGACCTGATCTTTTGTTTTTTCCTGGTGATTGACCTTCAAACCGGTGAAGTGGTTAAGAGCTTGTCTGCTAACCAAAAGTTTGGCAGTTCAAATCCACCAGCCGCTCCTTGGAAATCCTATGAGGCAGTTCTGCTCTGTCCTGTAGGGTTGCTGTGAGTCAGAATCAACTCAGCGGCAACAGGATTACTTTTTTTGGTTTGGTCCTTCAGATACTATCAGCTTGCTATAGATTTATTTTTCTATGAAGAAATAAGACTTGGTAGAGACGGTGGCTGTACTTGTTAATTTTGTTAGGAGTAATATTGGTATTGTGGTTATGTTTTACAAACATGACCTCATCTGTTAAAGACACATAAGGAAATACAGGCAAAATGATATGATGTCTGAAAGTTTACTTAAAATAGGCACAAAAGAATTTTTTTTTGGAATGTAGAAAAGTAAATAAAACAAGTTGGCAGATGTTGATAGTTATTGAAGCTGAACCTGGAAGGGTTTATTGTACTTTTCTCTCTACTTTTGTATGTATTTGAAAGTTTCTACTGTATTAAGTGTTTGTAAAAATCAGTTTCCAATAGCAAATCCAAACGTGAAAGGCAAAGTGATAAAGCTTCTAGAAGATAACAAAGAGAATACCTGCACCCTCTGAGAGCAGGGAAGGATTTCTGAAATAAACACAAAAAGGACTCACCGTAAAGGAAATCTAATCACCCAGTAGAAAAACAGTAGGGAGATTTGACCACGTGTGTCACAAGAAGAACGTATCTGAATGACCACAAATTATAAAAAGTTAATCTCATTAGTAATCAAGGAGATGCAAATTAAAACCACAATGAGATACTACTGCACACTTGTCACAGTAGCTAAACTTAGACTGACCTTACCGAGTGTCATCGTGGTGATGGGAACAGCTGCTGGGACGCCCCCTACAGGTGGGAGTGAAAAGTGGCAAGACCACTTTGGAAAACAGTTTGGCATTATCTCCTAAAGTTGAACATACTCTCCTGACCGAGCATGCCTAACAAACACATGCACATATCACCGTGAGGCATGACCTAGCAGCTTTTTATTCATCACTTAGCAGGGAGGGAGGCTTCCGGAAGTAGAATGGAGAAGTAAATTGAGGAATAGTCATACAATGGAATATGATATAGTAGTGAAAATGAATGAACTGTAGCCACACACACAACAATGTAGATAGATCTTATAAGCATAAGGTTGAGCAAAAGAAGCCATAAAATAATAAAGGCATAAAAGAGTGCATACTGTATGATTCCATTTACACAATGTCGGAAAACTAGTAGCACTGTTCAGGGATGCCTGCTTAGATGGTGGAACTCTAAAGGAAGCCCAGGAAATGATTACCATAAAAGAAAGGATAATGGTTGCCTTGGTGGGGAGGGAAAGGGTAGTGATTGGGAAGGTGCATGAGGGGGGTTTCCTCTTTCTTGGCCTAGATGGTAGTTACACAGGTATGTACTTCGTAAGAATTCACTGCATGGTTTATTTTTATTTTGTGTACTTTTCTGTTGTGTGTGTTTGTGTTGTGTATCGCTTACAATAATTTTTGTTTTTAATCACTCATTATGGTGGTTCCCATCATGTATTTTAGAAAAGTGTTAATCGTTTTTGGAAAACAGTTAACCTAAAAATGCAAGGTACTTTGCCAGAATTTATAGCATATGTTTAGACTGGTAGCCATTTGGAAAAGTGACCACCTCACCTCACCTCCCAAAGTCTTGGTCTCATATGGACTGTTCTGCACAGTGATTACATCTGAGATGTACGGGTGGTTGGCCCAGGGTGCAGAGCGAATGGCACGGGGCCCGCTTCCTGAAAATTAGGAAGATAGAGATGATCAGAGAGCCAGTTCTGTTGGGGAATTTCAAAAGGCCAGTCTGACTCTGCTGTCCCCTTTAACGTCACGTTGCTCTTATTTACAGGAATGGAAAACTGGAAAAAGGAAGGCTGAAAAAGATGAGCTGGTGGGAGTTATGATATTTTCCACCATGGAACCAGAGGCACCTGACTTGGACTTACTGGAAATGTAAGAGATACTGCCAAAAGCTCCTTCTTCTCAAGCTTGATCTGCCTCCTTGGCGCACAGATCTCAGCCAGCGTGGCCGTAGCTGGAATTGAGATTGTCAGACTGAGGCTGTTGAAATGAGCAGGGTTTGTAGTCAGAATGCAAGGAAGACAGACAGCATGTGTGCGTGAGAGGGCTCTTTCTAACCACAGTGTGGGATTGAAGTCTGCTGCCTTTTTACCTTGAACTTGGTGACTTCATAGTTGATACAGTGCTTAGTAGTTACTTCCAATAAGGTCTGATGAAACACAGTGGCGTGGAGTCCTCAGACACCAAGTAATAGCCAACAAAGAAAACTCCCTCTGAATGTTGCCCTTGAAGGGAGCAGTCTCTGACCTGCTTTTCCTGTGTGTGTGTGTGCGCGTGTGTGTGTGTATGTGTTTAATCTCTTGTTTTTAATCTTTTTTAAAATGTAGGTTCAGTTGAAAATTTGGAGTAATTCTTTTTCTATGTAAGGACTAATAAGAAATCTTCGCTTTTTTAATTTTAAGAAGCTTTTTTCTCATCATAAAATCATTGCTTATGTATGACCAAAAATACAAGGAAATAAACCACACACACAATCCTCTAACGACCCAGGGAGAAAATCAATGTTAATATGTTGGTGTATTGTCTTCGTTTTTTTTTTAAACAAAAACGACCTTGCGCTGTGCTCGCTGTCTGATCCCCTGCCCCTTTCATCTTGCAGTGTGTTGTGATGGTCTTTTCATGTCAGTAAATATTCTTCAGGGTCACTTAGTGATGGTTGTCTATCCGGATTATGTTCTGTGGCTCGTAAAGAACTTGTTGGAATGAACGAACAGCCACCATAAGCAACCTGTATTAGTGTTTTATAGCCAGGATTTGAGAGTATCTCCAGTGATTAGAATTTCTCTAAATAAGATATTCATCAAATGCTGCTTTTATTTACTTCAGAAAATTTTTAGTTAAAATTGACAAGGAATTGAAGAGGAAACAAAGTTAAAACATAAGTGATGGACTTTTAAGTAGTTCTCCAAAACACCTGAATCAAGCCTGTTTTTAAGACCAATTTAGTGAAAGGACAGTTGTTAAAATGCCAGAAAACAAGGGACTGCGGTTGTTTGGGATGAGTCTGCCCGACCATAAGGAACACTTGTCCAAAAGTTTGGTAGCACTGCCTGGCTGTGCTTTCTCTGTGAGTGACAGGCTGCTTTTGCCCACAGAGAGCAGAAGTGTGATGCTGTGGGTAAGTTCACCAAAGCCATGGACGACGGCGTCAAGGAGCTGCTGACGGTGGGGCAGGAGCACTGGAAGCGGTGCACAGGACGTAAGTGGCTCCCGCAGCTGCTAGGGGTCTGCAGGGGTTGCCCACGCTCAGCCTCAGACCCTGGGTCACACTGGGGAGGAAGCGTCCCACCGCAAACAGAAATGAATGTGGTGAACTGAAGTACTGTCGTTCCTGTACCTGTGATTAACCTCACCCCTAGCCCTAGCTAAGTAACTGAAAATTTACTCTGACAAAGCCAGTTCAAGATATCTCAGAAAATCACCAAGCTCAAATATTTCCAGTTATTTTGAGCTTTGTAATCTATGGAGAATGAATCTTTTTGCATGTTTAAAGAGTGCTTATGGTTTATTTTTAATCTAATTACATTTGGGAAGATGTGTATGTGACTAAGCCAAAAAAAAAAAAAAAAAACCCGTAGCCATTGAGTCGATTCTGACTCATAGCGACCCTGTAGAACAGAGTAGAGCTGCCCATAGGGTTTCCAAGGCTATAAATCTTTTACGGTAGCAGACTGCTGCATCTTTCTCCCGTGGAGCTGCTGGTGGGTTCGAATCAGCAACCTTTCAGTTAGGAGCCAAGAGCTTAACCACTGTGCCACCAGGGTTCCTGTATTTGACTAAAGCCATTTTTTCTTTTTTTTTTAAAAAAAGTAAAAACCAGCATAGTTGATGGTGGAAAATATATAAGAAGTCAGACTGGGGAAGAGTGGGCCTGTCAGCCAGTTTTCTGCCTGTTGCTTCTAGATCCTTAAGGATTTCTTGCCTGCTCTCCCTTTTCTTTGTTTGCAGACTGGCATTCTGCTCCCCCGTCTTTTCCTATGCAGCTCTGTTGCCGAATGGCCCAGGACAGAAAAGCCCTGTCAAGTGTCCAGCGGTACAGTGCCACAGCATGCTGCCCTGTTGCTCTCTAAGCCCAGATGGTGATGATGACTTTCCCGTCACTGAAATGCTGGGCTTGTGCGCTTCAGGGTTTTTCTCCCCTCTGTGTCGTTCTGCCCTGATTGTGAGCACAGCCTCCTGAGTCCTGAAGGGAGGGCGGGTTCTGGTCGTGGTCCAGCATGTTAGTCTCAGGGGAAATGGGCATGGCGAGTCTGTCACTAAGAATTTCCTGGCCTTCCACTGATACACCCTATAGGAGTATTGGTTGTATCCAGTGGGTTTTGTTTTTTTTTGTTTGTTTTTTTTAATAAAGATGCCTTCTACTTTGAATTCTAAAAGTAATACGTGCTCACTTTTAAATTGTATCAGTATTTTGGTGTTCAGCATAGGAAAAAGCTTAATTATCTGTTTTTGCAAATTTTTTAAGGTAGTATTTTTTCCCCTAAAGGAGACGAATCAGAATTTGAAATAAAAGGATAGTTTTAATGAAGAGGAAACTAAATGTGGAGTGACTTTTGGGTGAATTATTAAGATAGCGGAGCACAGGCAATAGCATTATGAAGATCTATTAAATCCAGATCTGAAAATCTCAGCCTTGTATCAGAGGCTGGCAAACTTCGGCCTGCGGGCCAACTCGGCCCGCCACCTACTGTTGTAAAAAAGTTCTATTGGAACACAGCCACACCCATTTACTTACATGTTGTCTCTGGCTACTTCCATGTTACAGCGGCAGAACTAAGTAGTTTCAACAGAGACCTGTGGCCTACAAAGGGCAGCGAAAACTAGCATATTTTGTGTTTCTCACTCCAGGTATAGAGGCAAAAACTGCAGTGTAGAAGAGTTAACAGTTTATTAAAACTGAGTTACAATGCACTATCTGGAGCTTAAAGGCATTCTTATATAATAAAAATTAGTTTTGCTCCTTTTCCCACTCTCTCTTTTACAAACCAAAAAAAGAACCAAACCTATTGCCATCAAGTCGATTCCGACTCATAGTGATCCTATAGGGCAGAGTAGAACTGCCCCACAGAATTTCCAAGGAGCATCTGGTAGATTTGAACTGTTGACCTTTTGGTTAGCAGCTGTAGCTCTTAACCACTACGCCACCAGGGTTTCCGTAAACACACCCAAAAGAAAAAAAAAAAACCCTGCCCTCACTCTGATGCTTTATTGCAGTAGTTTGCAACTCTGGCTGCACATTAGAATTATTTGGGAAGCTTAAAAATTTTCTAGACATTCTAATTTAAAAAAATTTTCTAGAAATTATAATGAGCAGGCTTCCATGAGCAATGGAAGTAGAAGCCAGACATTAGAATTTTGAAAAAGGTCTCTAGATGATTCTAATATTCTGTCCAGTATGAGCCTCCGAATATCACATGAGGAGAGGAAGTTGGGGAGGGGGCTTTTTGGTTGTTGTTGAAGTGGTGAATAGACTTGAGCAAACAGGAAAGTTTAAGTGTTTGTTTTCACCCAAGAAATGTGAAAAGTAAAATATTTAAGGACACTTGGGTTAAAATATAAATTTTTTTTAACAAAAATATTTTTTTTAATTCCAAAAAAAAAAAAGAAAAATGAACTAAGATAGTCTGGATTCACGGTTCTTCATTACCACAGCTCATAGCCCGCACTCCTCATTTCTCTAGCCTAGATTTTTTAGGAGTCCCCGGGTGGTGCCGACTGTTAACATGCTTGACTACTAACTGAAAGGCTGGAGGTTCAAGTCCACCTAGAGGTGCCTCAGAAGAAAGGCCTGGCAGTCTACTTTTGAAAAATCAGCCATTGAAAACCCAGTGGGGCACAGTTCTATTCTGACACTTACGAGGTCACCATGAGTCAGAATTGATTCAATAGCAATTGGTAATTGGTAGATTTTTTTAAAGAAGTATTTGAGATTTTCTTTTTCTTCTTTCATTGCAGTAAGTCTTCCAATGCAAATAGTGATTTCTTTTGAAAAGTGACAGATGAGTCTGAGGGGACTATATGCAAAGGAAGGTGAGCCCTGGTTGCGCAGTGGGTAAAGTGCTCGGCTGCTAACCAGAAGGACGGCTCTTTGAACCCACCAGCCCCTCCACAGGAGAAAGATGTGGCAGTCTGCTTCCGTAAAGATTTACAGCCCTGGAAACCCTACGGGCAGTTCTACCCTGTCCTGTAGGGTCTCTGTGAGTCACAGTTGACTCAGCAGCAGTGGGTTTAGTTTGGTTAGCTTATGTGCAAAGAAAGTTGCTTAGGATATAACGACTCTTCTCTGGAAGTTCTTCAGAATGACCCTAGAATCGTAGAACTTTAAGCACTAGAAGGAAGCTTAGCAGTCCTTCAGTAAATCTTCCCCTTACACAGATGAGAAAAGGCCAGCCCCTCCCTGGGCTAGTGATGCCTTACCATAGTGATTTCTCTCCACACTATGTGGCTTGCTTTCAGTCTTTTTCTTGCTTGCTTGCTTTTTTTAATGATCATTTTATACATACCTGCGTAACACAGCGGGGAAAGCAGTGTATTTGGAATCACAAGTGCCAGTCGCACCATTTCTTAGCTACGTGACTTTGGGGATGCTGGTTGACTTCTCTGAGCCATATTTTCTAGCCCCTAAAATGGAGGTGGGGTGTCTGCCTCTGGTAGGAGGGCTCTTGTGAGGCGACGGGTTGTGTGAAGGCCATTTGTGAACTGTCAGTCCTCCCTAGATGAGCTTCTGTTCGCACTTTTATTTCCTCCAGCGAATGAGACCGTGGCCGTGGTGACGGTTAGTAATAACAGCCCCCACCATTGACCGCACACGTCATGTGTCAAACAGGCGTTTTTGCATCATTATTTTCCTAAAGAATATGGACTATTTTGAATCACATCAGATTCTTCTATTATGAGAGTAATCACTTTTAGAAAATAGTTGAATCCCATTTCAGTTTGCTCAGAGGATAGTTAGCAACCTGCTCCTTCTTCTCTTTCAGCATTACCCAAGGAGTATCAGAAGATAGGAAAGGCCTTGCAGAGCTTAGCCACAGTGTTCAGCTCGAGCGGCTATCAAGGTATGTCTTTACTCAGTCCTTCACTGGGCCTGTAGTGTCTTGGCCAGACTTCCCACCCTTCTCTGGCCCTTGCAAACAAACAGTAACTCTGCAGTTGAGCCTCCTTGTCCTGGTGTTTAAGTTGGCCAGGCTACTGCACTCAGGACCATTGTAACTTCACCTTATTGCTTTTCAGAAGGCAGAGGGTCATTGTAATGTGTTATTTCCTTGCAAACTTGTTTGCGGTTTTTTGTTCTCAGATACAGTTCTTTTGTTTTACTGTAACAGTAGCTGTGGTATGCTACATTCTACCCTTGCTTTTCTCTCTCTGCCATACTCTAGAGTAAAATCTTCCTGTTATAAAGGCCAGCTTTCACCGAGTTCATTTGAAGGAAAAATGTTTGACTAAGTAAAAAAAATGCATGTTGCCTTAAGTCTCTCCATAACTCATAATTGTTTCCAGCTTACCTCGTAAATGTATATCTCATTTATGGTGTTATGAGATATACGTAATATTAGACTTCATTGTACGTTTACATCGACAGCACCTGTGAGAACAAGGTAGCTGCTTTTCCTCTGTGGTTCAGTTTGTATTTGCTCCATTTGGCTTATGGAGCAGGTAAGAAGTAGAAAGGATTTGTCAGGTCACTTACAAAGAGTATAGAATTAGTCCTTTCACCAGGGTGTTTATCCAGGTACCCAGGGAAGATGGGTCTTTGGATGTAAGTTTCTGAGTATTTCAAGGCACAGGAAATCAGTAACTCACAAAAATGTAAGATTTAGGCCTCATATATCTGAGTTCTTCTTGCTGGCCTGGCTTACAATGTGTGTTATTATGAATCAACACTTTTAGACTAGAAGGGAGCCTTGAAGGTTCATTAGTCTGATTCCTTCATTTTCAAAATAAGGAAACTGGGGCCTAGGAGAATAAGCAGCAAAAACTGTAAAAAAAAACAACAAAACTTAAAATTGCTTTCAAATGTCATATAGCCAGCAATATAATATTGGTATTGCTATTCTGAAACTATTTTGTGTATTGGATAAAGCAGATAGTAATTTGTCACTATTGTTATTAGCAACTAAGATTTCTTAGAACAAAAAATAAAACATTTTAAACTAAGAATAACCCCCAATACTCAGTTTGGATTAGAAATACCAGTATGCACTCATTATGTTTTCCTCTTTAAAAAACAAACTACAATTTGCCTTCCTCTATTCACTGAAAAAGCCTAGAAACCACTACCCAGTCCTGTAACAAGCACCTCTAGCGCCACCCAGAGGGTGATTTCTCAACACCATTTCCCACCAAGAAGAACCAAGGCCCCTTGAGGTTACCGCAAAAGAACTCAGACGCCAACTCGAAGAGCTTTCTCCTGGCCCGTGAGGAGAAAATTTGAGAACTGTATTATATAAAATATATGTTAACAATTGATAATAATGTATTATTTATAATAATATATTATTATAAAGTAATAATTGCTGTGGAATGGCATGTATCAAATATCTTTAAATCCAGAATTGCAGTGATCCATTAAGAAACTAATCTCAGGCACCTTTAGAGAATACTGGATATCAGCTTAGTCTGAACATTATAAATAAAAAGAAAGAATCAAGCATTTAACGTGCCTTTCTTATTCCGTTATACCTCAGGGTAACCAAAATGTTGATAAAAGGAAGTTTCTCTTTACACAAGTATTTCAGCTAATGCAGAAGGGATGACAGAAGTGGAATAGCATCATTCTGCAAACCCCTAGTAAAGTGAAAGATCTAGGCAGTGATCATCATGGCTTCTAGCATCGTAACAAACAGAAGTAACTGCCACTGTGCCTTCTGAATCTGATCAAGCTTCTAGATCTAATGACTAGTTCAGAGAAAATCCAGGGGACAGAGGACCGTGTTAAACATCACCCCAGAGTGTGGGCACCAAGGCACATGACTTGGTTTCTTCAACACCCCATCTTAGTTTCCTAGTGCTGCCGTAACAAAAATAAGCAAGTGGATGATTTTAAAGAACATGAGTTTACTGTCCCACAGTTTGGGAGGCTAGGTGTCAGCAGGGCTATGCTCTGTCTGCTGTAGAAGATCCTTCATTGTCCCTTTCAGCCTCTGGCAGCCATGGGTGTTTCTTGGCATTCCTCAGCCTGTACCAGGATCCTCACGTGGCCTCCTTCCTCTGCCTGTGTCTGTATCTCTGCATCTGTACTCCCTTTTTTAAGACGCCACTCTGAAGGTATTAGGTTTAGAGCTCACCTGTCATAGATTAAATTATGTCCACCAAAACTATGTGTCGACTTGGCCATGATTGTCAGTGGTTTGGCACTTATGTAATGATGTCACCATCCCCCATGGTGTCATCTGATGTGATCAGCCAATCAGTTGTTAGGGGATTGGGGTAGGTTGCAACACCCTTACTCAGGTCCCAGCATTGTAAGCGGAGTTTTTCTGGGGTATGGCCTGCATCACCTTTTATCTTGCAAGAGATACAAGGAGAGAGAAGGGAGCAGAGAGAGAGGGACCTCCTACCACCAAGAAAGAAGAGCCGGGAGCAGTGCACGTCCTTTGGACCAGGAGTCCCTGTGCTGAGAACCTCCTAGACCCAGGGGAAGATTGATGCCAAGACACATGCAGATCTCCAAGGAACGCCGGGCCCACAGATGTTAAAAGAAGACAAGGACCTTCTCCCAGAGCCAGCAGAGAGAGAAGGACTTCCCCTGGAGCTGGTGCCCTGAATTCAGATGTCTGGCCTCCTAAACTGTGAGAGAATATATTTCTGTTTGTTAAAGCTATCCACTTGTGGTATTTCTGTTATAGCAGCACTAGATAACTAAGACACCACCTTACTTTAGTATGACCTTATTAACATAATAAAATAAGATCGCTGTTTCCAAACAGGGTTACATTCACAGACACAGAGGTTAGAACTTCTACATATACTTTGAGGGGACACAATTTAATCCATAAAACCAAAAACCAAATCCATTGCCATCAAGTCGATTCCATCTCATAGCAACCCTGTGGGACAGAGTAGAACTGCCTCACAGAGTTTCCAAGGCTATACTCTTTACAGGAACAGACTATCACAGTTTTCTCCCGAGGTATGCCTGGTGGGTTCGAATCACTGACCTTTTGGTTAGCAGCTGAGCACTCTAACCATTGTGCCAGGAGGGCTCCTATTTAATCCATAACAACCACTCCAAAATTGTAAAAAAAAGTGGGGTGGAGTATCCTATAGACTTAAGAAACACATCAGCTGTGTTAAGCATTGAATTGTGTCCCCCCAAAATATCTGTTGGAATCCTAACCCCTATACTTGTGGATGTAACCCCATTTGGGAGTAGAATTTTCTTTGTAATGTTAATGAGGCCGTATCAGTGTAGAGTATGTCTTAAACTTAACCACTTCCGAGTTATAAAAAGATGAAATTAGGCACAGAAGTAAACACAAATTGGGGAAAGGTAGATGCCACCTGGAGATGTCAAAGGAACACCGAGAAGAATACTAAAGAAGCTGAGACCAGGATTTTCTCCCAGAGCAACAGAGAGCCTTCCCCTAGAGTCGGTGCCCTGAACTCCGACTTCTAGTCTTCTAAACTGAGATAATAAATCTCTGTTCCTGAAAGCTAACCACATGAAGTACTTGTGCTATAGCAGCACTAGGGAGCTAAGACAAGCTGTATGCCACGAGGACCTTCTTTGGATCCGACTTCAAGAGGCCCAGTTATGAGATGTCGGGGATGTCCGCACACTAACTGAACCATTTACATCAAGTATTTACTGTCTTTTCTTAGATGTGATAATGATATCGTCCTGATTTTAAGAGTCCTTATCTTTTTGATAAGGACAAATATTTATGGGTGAAATGTATGGCCAGTGAAAGGGGGTGGTAGGGAGTGGAGGGCATAGATGAAACAAGATGGGCCATGCACTTGTTACTTGTGAAGCTGGGTGAGAGGTAGATGACGATTTGTTATTTTAGTCTCTCTATTGTTGAAAATGTTTGAAATTGTATAATGAAAATTTTTAATAAAGCAAGTGAAAAGAAAACATATATGACTTAAAACCACTGATATAAGTGTCATCCTTTTCAGGTGAAACAGACCTCAATGATGCACTAACAGAAGCAGGAAAGACATATGAAGAAATTGCCAATCTTGTGGCAGAGCAGGTACTAACGTAATCAGAGGATTCAAGTGAAGTTTGTGTGCTGTCTGATCTGCCTGTTCAATTTGGAACATAAGAAAAACCTTCCAGTTGGATATCCTCTTCTCTTCCTCTGCCTGTGTATCTTTGTTAATTGTGTTTGATAATAGCATGTCTTAGGCTAAGCTAAAGTGAGTGGATAAATTTGTCATTAAGAAATCTAAATGAGTAATTTCCAATATTGTTGCCTCTGACCCTATCTTAGCCACCAAGGGGTTAAATACAGGAAAGAACACTGGCTCAAATCCCAGTTTGGACTCTTATTTAACCTTTCGGAGCCTTGGTTTCCTCATGTGTTAAATGGCAGTGGTAGTGTCTGCTCTGTGTGGTTCTCAGGATCCAGTTGCTAATAAATACAGAGTGCCCAGTACCGTCCCTGGCACTTACTTGGTCTTTGTTATAGCTGGGTGACTTTTATTGAGTCTTTAATAGCCCAATTTCAGTTCTTTTTACAAAACAAAGTAATGTTCCCTTAAGGGAAATAACAGTCTCAGTTGTTTCAAATCCTAAATTAAAAAATTTTTCAAATGACTTCTGGAAATATATGTTTATGCATGCACATACACATGGATATATGATCATTAACTCCTTTCCTGATATTTGTTAAAAATTATGTTAATTTTTAGAACTATAACATAGCTGTTAAAAAATTATAATTCAGAAAAGTTGGAAAATTTTAAAGTCGCCACTTAAAATGATTACCATACTCATTTTTTATATTCTTATATGCTTTGCTAAAATTTAGACATTAAACTATAATAACTTCATTTGTAAACATATAATATTAACTAGTTTTTTCAGGGCTTTGAACTGGTTTGGAGCAGTTGAGTAATTGCTGAGGTTTCAGTGAGGGCACTGTACGTGTTGCATAGCAACCAGATCTGTTGCCCGTTGAATTTTGACCCAAGTAGGAAACAAACAGCGGTGCCCCGCTTAAAGATGGCAGCTGACTGCACTGCCTCGAATGTGTGTGCTCTCCACAGTCCTGCCAATAATCCAGTCTCCCACATGGATCCCAAAAATTTCAGGAGCCTGATGTGGGAGCGGTCAGCCGTCATCTTTGAGTGGGGCACCGCTGTTTCTTTCCTACTCAGGCCAAAATCGGATGGGCAACAGATTTCATTGCTATGCAGTCCATACGCTGCCCTCGCTGACCTCGGCAATTACTGAACCACTCTGAACTGGTTCGAAGCCCTGATTTTTTCCCTACAGTATTTTGAGCCACCTCAAAATAATTAATCTTACAAACAAACTTAAAAGTTCTCTAATGATTTATCATTTTCTTTGCAACATATGATTCAAAGTATAATAGTCTTGGGATTCTTTTCTTTAAAGAAAACCAGACTGAATGTTTAACACTCAGTAATTGAATGTAGTACTTGGAGGAGTTGCTTCATACAGTCCTCAGATATAACAGAGTTTTGTTCTTTGGTTTTCTGAATTCTCCTGCTAATAACAACCAACCTGTGTCTCGTTAATAGCCAAAGAAAGATCTCCATTTTCTAATGGAATGTAATCATGAATATAAAGGTTTCCTTGGCTGCTTCCCTGATATTATCGGCGCTCACAAGGTAACTTGATCGCAGAACTTTACAGAAGGTACCAACTGAGTCAGGGCAGACGTGTATGACCCCTACCCCGGCCTCCACCCGCCTTCTCCGGCCACTCCGTCTGCTCCTAAATCAAAGGAAGAGCTTTCTAAAGTCAGCTGAACTCCTTGGAATGTTTAAGTATTAGCGAAGTTCTGTAACATGTTTACTTAGATGGGTAGTTTTTTTGTTTGTTTCTTTTACTCTATAGAAAGATGATTTGTAGGGAATTAGAAATATGAAAAATATTCTCTTGTGCATGTACTTGGTCAGCTGTCAAACAACAACAATCGTGCTGTTTGAAATCCAAGACCATCAAGGGAATAGTGCTTCCTCTGATCAGTGAGGCCGTTTTCATCTGCTCAGGCAAGCTCCACAAAGGTCCTTCCTGTTAAGACGAAACAAAATGTCCCGTCCCTGAACTGAATGAAGGGTTTCTTAATTACCATTAAAACGGTCAATATTGTTTTTATATGCTTATCTATAGTAATGAAAAAGAAGCTATATAGTTCTCATCATAAAGGGATTTTAAACTAATAAAACTTAGGTTTGGGCATCCTCACATTTGATTCTGGTTAAGTTTTCTCTCCCTGTTTCAACATGTATATATTACTTTAGAGTCCCGAACATTCTATCATCTGTAATACTCAAGTGTGTTATGATTTACCTGGCTTTATCAGCCATATCTCTACAGTGGACTGGTCTGTAATGCGAACAGTCCTGACATGTGGCCGTTTCAGTGTTTTGCTTTACAATTTAAGTACCGTGAAGGCGCAGCATGGGTGGATACGAAGCTTTGAACACTTTCAGAAAACTTAATACACAACTCAGAACAGTTAACTTTTTGTAGCAATTTATGCCAGGGGAGTGAGAGGTCTGGGCCTGGAGGCTAACTTATTCAGGAGTATAGAGTGTTTTCTTCTCCTTACGCGTTGCCATTGAGTTGATTCCAACTCACAGCGACCCTGTAGGACAGAGTAGAACCACCCCATAGAGTTTCCCAGGAGTGGCTGGTGGATTTGAACTGCCCATCTTTTTGGTTAGCAGCCAAATGCTTAACCACTGCGCCACGAGGGCTCCTGTTTCTCTCCAGACAGCTCTAAATATTGAGCAATGTGATGATACTGGAGTGAGAAGAGCTTTTACAATGACTGCCATCTAAGTATCAGTTTAAAACTGATGCAGTGCCTCTTAACAAAAATCAAAGTAAAGCTCAAACTTTGGAGCAGCACACTTAAGCACCAGCTACTCTAGTTTATGAATAAGGAAGACCAAAAAGTTGACGAAGAATATTGAATATACCGTGGACTGCCAGAAAAATGAATAAATCTGTCTTGGAAGAAGTACAGCCAAAATGCTCCTTAGAAGTGAGAATGGTGAGACTTCGTCTCACATACTTTGGACATGTTATCAGTAGGAACCAGTCCCTGGAGAAGGACATCATGCTTGGTAAAGTAGATGGCCAGCAAAAGAAAGGAAGACCCTCAGCGAGATGGATTGACACAGTGGCTGCAGCATTGGGCTCAAACATAGCAATGATTGTGAGGATGGCGCAGGACTGGGCAGTGTTTTGTTCTGTTGTACGTGGGGTCGCTGTGAATCGGAGCCTATCAATGGCACCTAACAACAACACTCTAGTTCATAACGAAGAGACAGAGAGATAGGTCCCGTGTACTTACGGAACTCCGCCTAATCAAGTGACTTTCTAAACCTATCAGTGCTGTTTCTTTGCCACGTGCCACTCTTACCATGGCAGTGCCCTAAACATACTACAGAGATCATGTACTATTCGGTTTTCTAATGTGTTTAGCATAAAACTGTAAATGTTAGCTTAGCTACATTTCTCAAGAATAGCAATCTTTGCTTCCAAGTGACTTTTGAAGGAAGTTAAATATAGATGGCTTTCTTATATTCTTATTTTGTGGGGACGTTTTCCTATTCAGTAACAAGTCAGTTTTAGAACATGTTAGCATTGTTACATTTGAAACTAATGACTAATCCTCTTGGCTTTATTTTGTTAATGCTGCTGCATTTTCTGTTTCACAGGGAGCAATAGAAAAAGTAAAAGAAAGCGATAAACTAGTTGCAACTAGTAAAATCACCCCACAAGACAAGCAGACCATGGTGAAACGTGTTGGCACTATGTCTTATGCGTTACAAGGTAAGATAAAAGGTTTATGAGTAACTTAGTGGAGATTTTTTTCCCAAAAAAGTTTGCTATTTCCCTTTCTGGAGAGAAATCCCAACTGTGAACAACACTTAAATAAATAAGAGCTGATTCAAAATATCCTCATAAGCCTCCTGTTTGCAGGATCCCAGTGTTAATGTAAATCTGTAATATTTATTTAGTCTTTCACACATTTACCTGACATAGTTATGAATGACAGCTTGCTTAAACCTGTATATTGTTATTATTTCTTAGAAACGCTGAAGACTCCTTGTGTAACTCTTCATACCAGTACCTATCATAATGCCTGATTAAATTCCAGAGTTCAGCTCTTAGCACTCAGTGACCTCCATGCTCCAAGACCGTGGACTGTACAGGAAGTTTGTAGATTGTGTTTCAGGCATAGCTGGAGTGTCAGTACAAAAGAAGGTGCTAATTGATTGTCATACATTTGAGTGTTTTTCTAGTAGATAAGAGCAGCTAATGAGATTTTCCTCTGTTCTGATGGATGGGTAGACCTGGCATGGACAGAGGAGAGGGGGAAAGGTATTCCAGTATGAACAGAAGCGTGCAAAAGAACGGTACAAGATCGTGCCACTGGCCTGAGGAAGCAAAGCGCACTGGCAGGTTATTGGGGGATAAATCCTGGTGAGTGTGGAGGGCCTTGAAAGCCAGGCAGAAGAGTCCAGACTTGGCGGGAGTGTTAAGAAGCTATGGAAAGGTTTTGAGCAAGAAGGGTTTGATAATTATGTGAGATAGAGTGGAGAAGGTAGGCATTAGCCCATCCAGAAGACTGTCGGCTGCTAACCAAAAGGTTGACATTCAAGTCCACCTAGAGTGGCCTCAGAAGAAAGGCCTGGTGATCTACTTCCAGAAAAAACAGCCATTGAAAACCGTACGGGGTCAGTTCTACTCTGACACACATTGGGGCTCCATGAGTCAGAATCAACTCGATGGCAACTGGTTTGGGGTTTTGTTTTGTGTTTTAAAGAAAGTGTGGTACTGGGGAGAAGACAATGAAGCATATTTGCAGGCTTTTCCCAGGAATAACCTAAGACTAAGGAGTTAGTGGGAGAAAGAGATTTCCAGAGCTCAGGTAACTAGTGGCAAAAATGGGGAAGCCTGATTGGAGCTTTGGGTTTTGAAGGGTTTGAAATGGGGAATTTGGTATTGAACTCGTTTTTGAGGTTATTCAGATAGGTAAATAAGAAGCCTTGTACAGCTTCAGATGACTGTAATATAAAACTCAGAATAATTAGCTTTTTGTTAGGATTTTATGCTAGCAGGGGGCTTTCTGGGCCTAGAGTGTAAAGGAAAGGATGAGTGTAAAACGTATCACATCAGGGTAGACGTGATGAGGACCAGGGGTAAGAATTGCCTTCTTCACATGCATAATGGGTAAGGGGGCACTGAGACACGTTTTGCTAAGGGGAGTGAGGGATTGTTGCATTCCACAAAGGTGAAGAATGTCATCCTTCTGCATCAAACTCTTCTGCTGAGTCTGACTGCCTCTCATTGGTGGTCAGGGGCCGCAAACCTCCTGTTACTGGAGAAGGGGCAGAGAGAGTGCACACTGAGGACTCCTACCTCCCCATCTGCCCAGCCTTTCAGGAGCGCTTCACTGAGCAGGAGGGGACGTGGAGGACCTGCTGAGTCTGAAGTAAACACACTCAATGTTCTGGAACCGTGATCATCTTGTGGAGAGTAGGACCAAATCAGTGTGCCACTTGAGCATTTCCATTGGAGCAAATTCCACATTTGCAGTAATTATCTGCATTGGGTTTCATGGTATTTAATATATAAGTTAATGAAAATCGTCCATTTACTGGAAAGTGTTGTTCTGCTGTTAACCTTTTTCCAATTGTTTGCCTAGTCTGTTTATACAGTGGTTGGCCAAGAGCTGATGCTGGTGGGCTAACCAAATTACATCCTGGTTGATGATTAACCGTAACCGAGCGGAGAAACCACATGTGGTAGTTTAAACCTTGGGGGAAGACTGACTTGTGTCTCGGTTTTGGTTGTAGCGGAGATGAACCATTTTCACAGTAACCGGATCTACGATTACAACAGCGTCATCCGCCTGTACCTGGAGCAGCAGGTGCAGTTCTATGAGACGGTGAGTCTGCGGTCCTTCTTTTCTGCGCACACACAGCAGAGGAGGATCCGTGGTGAGGCACTCAGCCACGTAAAGCTCATCTGCCTGTATGTTTTAATCCAAATAAGCCAAAAGAGTTTAAATATCGAGGCGATTTTTAGTCTTTTAATTAAATCTGATTTTTCCTTGTTGAAAAATAGTGGGTTGAAAACAAAAAAAAGCTTTTCTTTTGAAGAAGGAGGGTACTAGGTGCTAGTTGTGAGGCCCCAAGAGTCCTCATTGTGCGGCTGCCATCCCCCGTTCACAGCCTCTCTGTTCTCTGCACAAGGCCCTCTGCTGAATGAGCCGGGCTTGTCCTCTGCCACGGGGCCTTGACCTGGGGGCCGGTGCCTGGCACCGCGCAGGAGACCAAAGGCCTTCTTTGTGTGTGCGTGAGGTCTTCACTGCATACCAAAAGGAAAACGAAAGAGACCGTAAATATTTTCATTCAGAAAACAGTAACGAAAATTGAAACTGCCACAGCTCTGCATAGCAAGTTCGTTGTTCTCAGAGTGTACAGGAAACGAGAGTCCTACGATATTTAAATGGAATTTCAGAAATCTGAAGAGAAGGCCGGTAGCTTTCTAATTGAGCATCTGCTGGCCGGCTTGTTTCTGCCTCTGCTCTCCACTGTGTCCGTAATGATCACATGTATGTGCAGGGATGTGGTAGGTGAGCCCACATTCGCGGCCACACACGTCACCTTGCACTGGGAGCTGTGGAACATGCCTGTAAATGCCTGTCTCTGACAGTAAATGCTCGAAAGGTGGCTGAGGCTGATGTGCTCGCTGCGGATTTGGAATTGTATGTTAGAAACGGTTGGTTTGGAAGACTAGCTTACAGAAAGAATTCACGTGGACGGTATTCTCCCTTACAGTCTGTGGCTCCTGTGTTCTTTAATTGCACATTTTTTTTTTAATAATTTGGGGCCATTGTATGTTTGCCTTTCATCATTAATTAGAATAACAGATTTTACTTGTTCTATGTGAGAAAATAATTAAAGGACAACTCTTGATAGTTGGATAATGTTGATTTGTTAAATAATTTTCAAGCCCAAGAAAGGTGTAATTATTAATGGATTTTTATTTGAATCATTTGAATTTATGTAGTTCAAAACATAAAACTATCTGTTCCCCCAGTGTCTCTGCATAAGTGGCCGATACAACATTTTAGAGCAAAGGGTCACTTTCCTATAAAACTCTGTTAAGTTATTAAAATTTGCATAATTGTTCATAGGGCCAGCATTGATTGACTGTGATTTATTATGTGGTAAACACAATTGCAGATGTTTAGGACCAAGGATGAATCAGACATGGTCTTTGCCTTCAGGGAGCTATCTACCTGGAGGAGACATGGGCACCTGGACATAGTCATAGGACAGCAGAGTCCTCTACCAAAGGCACACGCTGTGTGAACACCGCACAGGAACACAGCAGGGACGGATGGGGACACATGGGGACACATGGCCTCCAGCCCAGTCCTAGGAGTTGCAGGTCTCCAGGACAGGGAGATCTGGGCATGGACGACAACCCCATCAGCCTGACTCATTTGAGAAAGAGTGATAGTCTAGGAATTCTGCTTACGGCAGAGGCAGGAGAGAAGCCTGTATATGGAGGGAGGCGGGGGCCCCCCTGAGAAAACCTCGCAGGCTGGTCGGGTACGCAGAGGAGTGGGGACTTGGCCCTGCAGGCCACGGGCACCATCATTGGCAGCACAGTTGTGATTTAAGACAGTCTCTCCAGCAGCAGCGTGGAGGCATGAGATGGGTACAGGGAGGGAACAGTCCAGGCTGTCCCCGAGATCCAGGCCCCAGGGACAAGGGCTGACCCAAGACGGGCAGCGAGGTGGAGAGGGACGGCCGCTGAAGGTACGGTGTTTTCAGGATTTGAATCTTTGGTAATACTTAAGTCATAGGAGTGGTAAATAATAGAATACTACAGGGTAGCCGTGGGGGTGGCATCTCAACACTGTTCTGCTTTTCCTCCAGATTGCAGAAAAGCTGAGGCAGGCCCTCAGCCGCTTTCCAGTTATGTAGAAGAGACGGAATGTGAAGAAAACGCCGAAGTGCTTCTTTCTGACTTGGGCAATGCAATTTAACGTTTTTTTTTTCCCTATCACCAAAAAAAAAAGGAGAAGAAAGAAAACCAAAAGTAATAGGGTGACAAAACAAACTGTGTTTACTTTGTCGAGCAGCCTGCACACCTCCCTGGTTTGAGGATGGCCGCCTTCTCTTCCATAGCCGTTATTTAAACCAATCGAAATTGTGTCTATTTTTGAAAAGTACTTAAAATTAGTAGAATTTTAAATGGAAAATTTGGTATTTTACAGAGAATCCTAATTTATAATTCTCCCACAGTCTTCCAGTTCTTATCCAGTGTCAGATAATTACTACTTTCTTAAAAATAAGAAATATGCCAGAATAAAATATATATGTTTGTATATTTTTATAACTCTCAGTCCTTTGGGAATTCCTGTGTATTGAGGCAGCTCAGCCCACCTTTCACTTCTGTATTTATGATTAAAGAGCTGACCTTTTCAAAGAGGCCTTGGGGCTACCGACACCCGTCTTGCTCCTTATGTAGGACATAGGATGCTGTTCTGTAAACTCTGGTGATCAGATTGTCCTGATTTCCTCTCTGCCACCTCCCCTCCACCTTCCCCTCCTCAGGGTGATCTTGGATGCATTGCTCTCACATGGAAGGAGCCCTGGTAGCACAATGGTTAAGCACTTGGCTGCTAATTGAAAGGTTGGCGGTTCGAATCCACTAGCCGCTTGGCAGGAGAAAGATGTGGCAATCTGCTTCCATAAAGATTACAGCCTCGGAAACCCTATGGGGCAGTTCTGCTCTGTCCTGTAGGGTCACTATGAGTTGGAATCAACTCGACAGCAGCGAGTTTTTACAGGGTTCTCCCATGAGGACCATGGCTTTCTCTCTGCACTTCTGCCTCATTGTGTGGGGACATGATTTGCACTAGAAAGAGTAAGTCGGAAAAGCTGGAGGTCAGTCAGCCCTAAGGAAGAATGCCACTGATAGTGTGATTTGCCCCTTGATTTGGACTGTGGACAAGCAGGCCAGCTGGTATTTTATGGAAAGGTGAAAACCCAGTTCAAGTAGCAAACCTCTCCCCTCCCCACCAGGAAGAAAAGTGGGACTGGTTGGGGCGGCAGCCTAAATAATGTGCACTGGTCCCCTGGGCTTTTGAGGTTTGGGAAAAGTATGGCATGCAGATTTTCCTGTCTCGATCCTTCAGTTCAGACAGAGCTTTCCTGATTACTAGTACATCAGTGAATGCCACCAAATAAGCAGACTCTTGAGCACCCGTCAGCTTTCAGGCAGAACACTACTCACATGTATGCACACCATCTGTCCTTGCAGACGGACGTTTCCATCTTCCGCAGTTGCCTTACTAAGTAATCTCTCACTGCTTACACTTTTCCAACCTAATAATTATATTTTAGAAAACGGAATGTCTGGGCCAACAAAAATAAGATGCAACCAGAATATAAGTAGATGAGGAAATCAAATGAACATGAATGTGAGAACATCTTGTTCTTTAATATCATGGGTTTTTGTTAATGTTTTCTAAGTAATTTTCCCTGCTTGATTTTTCTTTTATAAAATCCCACAGAACAGTGTTTATGATACAGCCATTTAATATATGTACAAATTGTAAAGAATATGTATAAATGTTTTACACAAATGTAAGAGCATGTAGAAGCCAACATATAAATAAATTGTTTAAAAAAACTGTACAGTAAATTCTCAAAGCACTTTTTCAAAACACTTTTTGGTGTTTTTGTGTGTGATTTTTTTTTCTTGTTAGTTGCTTCTTATTGTTAGCTGCTGAAGTAATGAATTTTTCCCTGAAACTTATTTCTTCTGACATGAATTAATAATTCTAATTGAGTCAATGGTATCAGTCCTGGAGGCACATCACAGTCACCTGAGGAGCTGTAAGAAGCACTGATGCCCAGTGTCTACCTCCACATAGTCTGATTGAAATGCTATGAGGAAGGGGCCAGGAAAATGGAAAAGGAATCTAAGAAAAGGAGACAACATGGAATACTCAAAACGATGGTAGCTGACTGTGAGCCAAGAAAAGTAAAGGGAATTTGAAAGTAAATAAAAGATGATCCATTGGGTGTTGATACTTTAATGACAGTGTATATTTCCTTCTCTGTGGGTTCAGACACACTACTTGGTTCTTACATGATCATATGTTAATGTTTTTATTTTCAATTATATTCACTTTTGGCATCACAGAAGAGATGTAATTATAGAATAAAACATAACTTTTACAAATCTTGTAAAAAATAACAAATGTGTGGAGAGGAGAGGTAAAAGCATAGTTTGCATTTTCAGTAGAGAGAAATCCTGTCTAAAACCCAAAATATTTAAGTATATCATTTAAAGTAGTAAAAGCAATCACTAAAATAACTACTGTAACTAAAAAAGGGGGAGGTGAAGAGACAGTAGAGACATGAGGAATAGATCATATATACTGCCTCTCGTTTCGTACTGTCTGAAATTGAACCCCACCACTCATCTGTTAGTTTGTCATACTGTGGGGGCGGGTTGCTGTGGTGCTGGAAACTGCTGCTGGTATTTCAAATACCAGCAGGGTCATCCATGGTAGACAGGTTTCAGCAGAGCTTCCAGACAAAGACAGACTAGGAAGAAGGACCTGTAGCGATATGCTTTAAAAAATGGGCCAGTGAAAACCTTACGAATAGCAGTGGAACATTGTCAGATACAGTGCCAGAAGATGAGCCCCTCAGGTTGGAAGACACTCAAAATATGACTGGGGAAGAGCTGCCTCCTCAAAGTAGGGTCAACCTTAATGACGTGTTGGAGTCAAGCTTTTGGGACTTTCATTTACTGATGAGATGCAACTCAAAATGAGAAGAAACAGCTGCAGTTCAAAACTTGCCATGTACAAAGTACAAATCTAGGAAAATTGGAAGTTGTCAAAAAATAAAATGGAACATTTAAAGATAGATATCCTAGGCATTAGTGAGCCGAAACGGACTGGTATTGCCATTTTGAATCATATGGTGTACTATGCCAGAAATGACAAATTGAAGAGGAACAGTGTCACATTTATTATCGAAAAGAACATTTCAAGATCTATCCTGAAATAACAATGCTGTCAGTGATAGGATAATATCCATATGCCTACAAGGAAGACTAGTTAATACGACCATTATTCAAGTTTACCCACCAACCACTAATGCCAAAGATGAAGAAATTGAAGACTTTTACCTACTATAGCAGTCTGAAGTTGATCAAACATGCAATCAAAATGGATTGATAATTACTGGTGATTGGAACACAAAAGTTGGAAACAAGAAGGATCAGTAGTTGGAAAGTACAGCCTTGGTGATAGAAAAGATGCCTGAGATCGCATCATAGAATTTTGCAAGGCCAATGACTTCGTTGGAAATACCTTTTTTCACCAACATACATGGCAACTATACATGTGGACCTCACTAGTTAGAATACACAGGAATCAAATCAACTATATCTGTAGAAGGATGATGGAGAAAGCTCTATCAGTCAGAACAAGGCCAGGGGCCGACTGTAGAACAGACCATCATTTGCTCCTCTGTAAGTTCGTGTTGAAGCAAGACCAAAATGGATGTCAGGAGAGACTCTGCAACTTGCTCTTGAATGTAGAGTAGCTAAAGCCAGTGGAAGAAATGATGAAGTAAAAGAGCTGAACAGAAGATTTCAAAGGGCAGCTCAAGAAGACAGAGTAAAGTATTATAATGAAATGTGCAAAGATCTGGAGTTAAAAAATCAAAAGGGAGGAATACACTTGGCATTTCTCAAGCTGAAAGAACTGAAGAAAAAATTCAAGCCTTGAATTTCAATGTTGAAAGATTCTATGGCCAAAATATTGAACAACGCAGCCATCTCCCACCCCCACTTCCTTTTCTGGATAAGCGTCAGGCTCACCCAGACCTTGTTTGCCTAATGTAGGTTATTTTTAAAACTGATTCTATTCTCATCAGCACCTAGTGTATTTTTGGTAGTTAGATATGAACTTGGTTTCCTATTTTGTTTCTTAGCCATCATATAAATGATCCTCCAGTGAAGAGGTTAAAGGGCAGTTAATAATTTGGGTGGAAAGATCAGGAATGGGGGTGTACCTACAATCACATAGGCAGTTTGCTCTGTCAAGGTTATTTCGTTCACTGGCCCCTCCATTATCCAGATAAGGAAACAATTCTGGGCTACATTCAATTAATTCCTTCCTTTAATAGATGTTAAAGGATTCTAGACAGTGCTCAAAGCCATATAAAGAAAAAAGATTTGCAGTAAAATAATTTCATGGATCAGTTTGATGGTATTTTTGTATTGTAATTTTACTTGTTATGCCTAATATGATTTAAAGGATGTAATTTGTGACAACCTAAAGAAAGAAGAGCTGTATAGGAACAGAGTTTTTGTATGCTATGGAAGTTAAGTTGGTGTCAATTTAGGATGTTAAATGCAATCCCCATAGTAACCACAAAAAATATACACAAAAGGAAAACAAGAAGGGAATCAATATGGTTCACTACAAAAAAATCAAACACAAAAGTGGGCAACATTGGAGGAAATGAAGGACAAAAAAAGGATAAAACACAGAAAACACAGCAAAATGGCAGAAGTAAATTCTTATCAGTAATTTAAGTATAAATTGATTAAGCTCCAATCAAAAGGGCGAGATTGGCAGAATGGATAAGAAAACATGATGGAACTATATGCTGTCTCCGAGAGACCCACCTTAGATCCAAAGACACTGGTAGGTTGAAGATGAAAAACGGGGGAAAAAATACTCCATGCATATAGTAGCCAACAGAGAGCAGGAGTAGTTCTATTAATATCAGGCTAAATAGACTTTGGGGCCCTGGTGGCACAGAGGTTAAACGTTTGGCTGCTAACCAAAAAGTTGGCAGTTCAAATCCACCAGCTGCTCTTAAGTCAAAATCTGTTACAAGAGACAAGGACATTGCATAATAATAAAAGGGCCAATTCATCAAGAAGGTACAAAAATTAAATATGCATCCAACACAGAGATCCAAAATACATGAGACAAACATTGATAGAATTGAAGGGGAAAATAATTCTACAATGATGGTTGGAGACTACAGTATACTACTTTCAATAATGGATAGAACATGTAGACAGAAGATC